AAAATGCAAATTTTCTCAAAAAAGAGTGCAATGTGATCAAATTTCATTTTCATAATGAGTTTCATTTTTCACTTTAAATTGATTAAATTGAATGTGAATTGATTAATTGATTAAATTCTTTTTGAAATTTCGAAAATTGAAATTTAATACTTGAAATTCGTGGAGAAATAAAAATTTATAAAGGCTTGAGGAATCGTTTTCGGGGTTTTTCGTTGTAAGAGAGACTCTCAGATAATATCGAAATTTAAGAAATTCATTTGAATGAAAGTACCATCATTGTAACATCATTTGAACCACACGTATATGAAGGACCCTTAGCTTTCAGGTCTCCGACGAGGGGCCGAGGCTGAGAATGACGCGCCACCTCCAAGGAGGATGAGAAAGGAATTTAGCAAAAAAATTAAAAAAAAATCTTGTCGAGCTAATTGCTATCATCGATGAGAAAACTGAGATGTTTAGCGAAATGAGATCGTTTAGCGAAATTTTCTAAAATAGGGTTTTCACAGACGATTTGCAGCAACAGTATTTAGAACAGATAATGTACTTACGAGAATAAACCTACCAATAGAAACGATAGTGGTACTGGCGAGCCACCTGCATAGAGACTCAGGTTGAAGCCGAGTACTGTTAGGAACGGAGTTTTGCTAGCCTCGACGTATACATATGTGTGGTTATCCACACTGCATGCAGACATATGTGAAAATAAAAAATTTTAATGAGAAAATTTTTGGGTAATTTTAAGCAACATTAATTGATAAGTGCCAAGTTTGCAATTTTTTCCCTCAACATTAGAATTAATCTTACTTTGAATAGAATGGCTCAGTGGATTGTTGCTTCTACTTCAGGCAGGGACGAGTCGTTGAAAAAGTTGAATGGCGCATCCCTTCTATCGTCAAGCGACTCTCTGGTAGAATTCGTCTGCTTCCAGCAAATCAGCGATCCGGGAAATGTTGAATGAATGTTTTAGAAAGAGATTTTCTAGCCAGTTCCAATTATTCCGTGTACGCCTCGCATTGCTTTTCACCTTTTCTCTCTTTGATGGATTTAAAAGACAATTAAAACTGATCGGAGAGATCACCGATTTCCAAGCAGTTTGCTTGATAAAATAAGTTATAAGTCAGTTATAATTATTGTTTGGAAACGTTTATTTGGTCTTTTAGAAAAATTAGATAAAAATTTATTGAAATTTTCCATCAATAGAAGCGATTTTCATTAATAATTTATATGAAAAAAAAGAGGGAAGAACCACGAATTTAATTTATAATTTTTTTGGTTTTTCATTTTATTGAATACCATTTTTCTTCCAATTGCATTTCCTACTTCTACTTTGAATTGCTTCATTGGCTGTAAATGCGACGAGATATATGCCCCGCAGGAGTGAACGTGTCCAAGAATCCGCGTGATGCTTGCCTCTCACCTGTGTTTCTATCGCCAAAGGACTCTCTGGCATATTTGCCCAATGTGATAAGCCAGCGGAGCGAGTTCAACCAGTAACGAGGACTTTTTGAAAAATTGCAACGACATATTTCTATATAACGCATTCATACAATAATATTGTACGATTTTTTTGACAAATAGTCGTCACATCAGGATGGAACGAAATAGGTTTGCAACATCAATGAGGTTTCGCTTTTGGAGAGCGGTTGACGACAATCGAGGAATAGAAATTTCGAACGACTTGAATTGCATCGCTACCGTTCAATTCACCATTCACCATTCGATCACCTTATTTGTTTTTTTAATTAATTTATTTATTATCTCATTGTGCGTACGGTAGTTTTTCTAAAAAATATAATACAAGTAATCAATTTTAATTTTTCATGCATTTAGCGTCAATTAAAGATAGCTGAGTGGAAGAACGAAACTTAATAGGGAAAGGATAACCGAGTGGAAGAACGAAACTTAATAGGGAAAGGACAACCGAGTGGAAGAACGAAACTTAAGAAAGGATAGCCGAGCGGAAGAACGAAATTTAATAGGGAAAGGATAGCAGAGTGGAGATATAATATTATCTGAATCCAGTTTTTGGAAAAAATTAGTTGAGAAGCTTATTTATTTATAAGATAATTTAGATCCCCATAAATTTGTTCTCCATTTCCATAGTGCTTCCATCATTTTTTTTTGCATTTTTTTTATTATTTTTATCGTTTAAAATTATTATTTTAATATGTCGCTCCGCTTGCTTCTTCGTTTAAATCAACAGATAATAGATTATTGAGATTATCATGTGGAGAGCTAAAGACTCGACTCGTATTCCCAGTGCAGGAGTTCCGACAAAAAGTACGGATGGCAAGCCATACACAAGCCTGTCACACCAAATAAATCTCTAGCAAAAAATTCATAATAGCACTAACAATCAGCGAGACTAGGCTAGCCATTTTTCTGAAAAAACTCATTTTTTTCAGAAAAGCTTGTTGCTTTTCAATTTTTTTATTTTTAACACGGATTTTCAACTCGTTTAAATTGTTTCCGTTATTTCGGTTACATGTACAGCACTGCGTAAGCAATTTGTGCATGCAGGACCTTATCCTCTTATCACTTTATCACTAATTTGAAATAATTCATTCTATTTATATCGATTTAAAATCTAAAGATCTTCTTTCAATTCTCCATTTCCTGAATAAAAATCTCATCAAATCTAAACCAGCTTTAGCCATTTATTTAGCAAAAAATTGCCAATCATTTTCATTTTATTCATTTTTTTTAACGCATAATGCTTACCTCTATGGATCCTCTGGAGACTATGGTGATTCTTGGAAAAATAAATAGTAGCTTAATTCGAATTCTATATTATTATTTCATTTTATAATGAAGGATTTTAAAAATCTTTGATGATTATTTTATGCAGTTTATTATATTCTATATTTTTAAAATGTGAAAACTTTTTTCCGGATTTTTATGGTATCACTAATTAAAATAAAATGAAAATTTTTAATTACGCAATAATCCATCGAATTGTCAGTTAAACCTTGGTTGATCGGAGATTATTTCGATGACGACTAAAGTAATTAATAAAATGTTTCGTGCTTAGCCATTCCCGACTAGACTAAGTTCCACTGGCTATTAGCACAATTAAAGATTCGATTTTCAATAAAGCAAATTTTATACTTTAAAACGAAAATAGAATATTTTAATTACACAAACTGATTAACACAAATATTTGAAGGTTAACTGATTATCATATAATAAAAAAATATTATCACAAATCGCGTCGTATCATTTTCTCGACTAAATTTTGATTTATTAACCCAAAAATGAAGAAATTCTCTTATTTTAAACCAATTTATGAATACATAATGCACTAATTTTTTATGTAACAATTTTAATAAATGGCAAAATGGTAAAAGTTATATGGTGAAAGAAAGATGAACTTTATTTTAAAACCATTGAAACCATTAAATATGATAATGGTTGGAGAGGAATAATCACCTTCCTCTTCTATAGCAACACATCGCTTCTGGTTTGGTTGGCTCCCAATAAGAGATTTTTGCCGAAGAGCCATAGGCTTAGATGGAGATGTGCGCCCTCAACAGCTGCTCTGTTTCATTTTTAATAGATTTATGAATATGTGAATGGAATGGAAACACAATGCTTGCATTCTAATCTCATTCACTCGATAACACTCGATAATTCAACATTTGTAACATTTGGTGAAATAACAGAAATTTAAAAATTTAAAATATAGAATTTTATATTTTAACAAGAAATTGGAAGAAAAGAATGAAAATAATTTAGAAAATCTCAATTTGAAAATGATAAAAATGAAAAGAAAAATGAATCAAAAGGGAATTAAATAGAAAAGAATACTTTCAATTGTATTATTTTCTGAGAATTTTGAGAATTTTAATGCCAATTTCATATAAATAAAAATGGAAAAAAAATTCATTTGCCCTCTTAAATAAAAAATTAATAGCCAAAAAACTAATGAGCATGCATTAAAAAAAGTTTACACTTAACAAAAAAAAAATAAACTAATTATAAAGTAGAGCGGAAATATGTCAGCAGTCATCCATCACTTCACGACGTTTTTGAGGATAATGAAAGACATTTAATGGGCAAATATAATGGGCAAATATTTATATTTTTCCCATTAGGCATCGTAAAGGATTAGGCGAATGCGACATGTCTTCGGCATTTTCACTACTGCAACAACAAGCAAATGATTTAACAGAATAATTTTGCAATATAACAGACTATGATAATAATAATTTTAAAAAAAGATAAGATTTACAAAGCAGAATCATTCCTAAAACATTTTAACGCTTATAAAATTTTAAAATTTTAACGCTTTTCATCCAAGACAATGCGAAATTCATCAATAAAAATGTAAGAAACGTTAACAGAAGAAAAATCTAAAACAAAGTCAAAGTCACATTAATGCAACATTACTAGAAGAGAAATTGAAACAGAGCCATATTAATGTAAAAAAAAACAGACAAAACAAGGAAGACGAGAAAAAAAATTTGAATGAGAAGATTTTGAGAACTATAAACATGCAAAAAAAGAAAATATTATTTAAATAAATTAACGAAAAACGAAAAAAATGCGAGGAATCTCAATTCCAAGAATTTAATAAATAAGAAAACTAACAATAAAAAAAATAAACAAAATAGAATAAAAAGAGAAATAAGAAAAGAGCGACTAATTTTTGCGAACATATAAAAAATTTTTTTTGCATAAATTTTTCTTTCTCATATGAAATTAAAAAAAAGAGTAAAATAAAAAAAAGACATAGAAAACCAGAATAAATAACTGTGGATTACCGAAATGATAATGCGAGCTAAGAGATATAATACAATCATGACAATTACGCTTCAAAAAAACCAGTAAAGATTGAAAATGAAAAGATTTTCATTATGCTTACGGGAAAGCGAGGATATCGCTTTCCAAAAACTTATAGTCATTGATTATAAGCTTAAAGATTCTATCGCCCAAGCCATAGTTTTTCGTTTCGAAAAAAACTGGCACTTTTTGTCTAATGCGAAAGCCTGCGATAAATCCTAAAAATGCCGATTCAAGAGTGTTTTGATGAATTCAACTGCACTTGTGAATTGCGCCCACCAATAGGCTTCAGCTCCTTCCATTCGCTTGCCATAAAACTCACTTATGTACTGAATATTCGAAAGTAAAGCTCGAGGATTGGCCTGAAATTTCCAGTAAATATGATGAATTAACGAAACGCGAGAAAATTATCAAATATGATGGCCCAAAAACATAGAACTTTCGAACAAATTAAATGATTATAAAGAAAAAGGCTTTAAATAAAACTTTTCACCTGTATGAGAACATATACCAGAACTGGTGTAATATCATCAGCAGATACAGTATTTTGTTGAGCAGCTAGCATAATAAGATTCTGTATCGTCTCACAGCAGCGAATAATGCAAGTCATTTTATCGCGTGGAGTTTTATAAGCATTGATGATTGCAATCTCAGCCTGCGCAGATGGCCAAGGACACTCACCGTGGAATCGCTGAAAATGACAAAGAATAAATAAAATAAATAAATATTAACGAAAATAATAAAAGAGAAAAATATATTATAATTTTGGAAATATTACACCATGAGATCTTTACTTATGCCCTTAAAATGCCCTAATTCGTTGAAAAAAACTAGAAATTAATAAAATTTAAACTGTTCACATTAAAAACCTTTGGTATATTTAATTCCGGATGGTCTGGAGAAATAACTTGCGCGAGATTTCCAATGGATTTGTGGAAAACACTGGAAATGAAATAATTTTTGAATAAAAAACTTGTTTTTCATAAGGCACATTCTTCAAAAAATATAGATGTGAAGGTTAGTCATTTCGTGAAAACTTTATGGAAAAATTAAGAATTAAAGGTAAAATAAATTTCGGAAAAACTTTAAGTCGAACCTATCTCTTGACTGGTCAGCTTCACCATTTGGAAAGAGAGCCATTTTATAAATACGAGCCATAAGAGCACGTTCGATACTCTTGCGAACATAAGTTAGGCGTTCATCACCAGCGTAACGCCACATTTTCTCATTAGGTAATAATTCGTATAAAGTCTGCAGTAGACATTCCACAGCATCTGTTCTTTCATCCTAAATTAGAGCAAACAGTAAAAGCACATAAAAAAGTTGGAATTGAAATCGTTATGATAAACAAGCAGTAAATTTAATTTAAAAATTTTAAATTTATAAATAAATTTATAAATTCTTATAAATTTTAAAAATTGAAAACATTGAAATAAAAATTGTTTCATTGAAAAATCATATAATGGAAAATAAGGAAATGTACCTGGGCTTCCAATAATTTGAAATCTTCGATGAATCGAAAGAAATCTTCTCTTCGCTGTTGGAGATAGAAACCGACTAGTACTTCAACAAGACATTCATCAGTGAGCAATTTCTGTCTGTATAATTGCATAATTTTTATAATATATTATCAAATCACCACATACTTAGAAAAAAGTAATACCATAAAATTAAATTAAATGTCCCAATTTAATCTTGAAAACAAAAAATTAAGAACCTTCGCAACTGATTGGTCAATTTGTCGAGATATGAACGGAGTTGTAGAAGAATAAGACGAGATTGTTGAAGATAGAGTAGATATGCAGTTCTTCTTCTATGCTCATCTTTCAATGTACGTAATAATTTCCGAACTCTGAAAAGAAAACAATAAATCAATTAAAAATAAAAATTAGAAAAATAAAATTATACTTGAACACAAATCAATCAAAACATGAATATAAAGATACCCTTTTTCCTCGAATGATGAAAGGCATCTCAACACTTCACGAATCTGCGCACTGAGAGCTTTGTCCTGAGCATTGATACTTTCTGCAAGTAAAATTTGTAGAAAATCGACCAGTTTTTGTGAATCGCTTTTTTGAGATCTGAAATAATAAAATCCAATTTGACCGCAGCAGTAAAAATTTAAAAGCTTTTATTAACTACTGTCATATTAACAATAATATAGATTAATGAAATTAATCAACATTAACTGATTATAAAATTTTAGTAGTATAATTTTAGTAGTATAATAATATCAAATGTAATAATCATAAAAAGTGTAATAAAACAAGCACCCTGAAGAATTAAGTTGCCGTTGACCTTGTAAAGCCAAGTTGTCTCCAAATGTCATATCTGAATACGATGTCCCAGGAACTGAACCAAAAGAACTTAAAACTAAACGCAATTTTCTTTTTACATCCAAAAATGCTCGACATTGTAATAGATTATTGGGATCGTAATATAACTCTGATAAAATTTTTTCATTCTTCGTATCCTTAAATAATTTTTATACGCATAATTGTTACAAAAATCTATGAAATTAAATTTCTACAGCCAATATTTCGAGTGTTTACTTTGTGAGTAGCAATAGACTTCAAAATATATTGAGAGGAGGGTAATCTTCCTTTATATTTATTTAGAATCTCTTCAGCTGTTTGCCGATTGATTTCTGCTGTTCGATTCAACTCGTTCAATGATCGACTTTCTGTCAAACGAGATGAAGAATTTCCTAAAAAAAAATAAAAAATTAAACCAAAAAACATCATACAAAGCTGAAGAGTGAAGGTAATAAGACGCTGGTAAAAATACTTGCTTTATTGTTGAAATCTATAATGACAAAAATTTATCTAAAAGTATTAAACAGAAAAAAATTCAAAAAAATTTAAAATTAAAACGAAACGACCGATGAGTTCCTTTCTAACTGCCTCTTTAATAAATTTCTGATTGGCATTTCTTGATCTCGCATCACTAGTCGAACTCACAGAAGCAATTTCACTCATAGTTGTAGCCTGAGATAGTGACTGACGCAAGGAACTCACAGCTATGCCTAAAAATACCTAAGAAAGAAGTTTTAGCAAAAGTCAAAATTTTGGCAATGAACTCATTCAAAAAAGCGATATGATAAGATGACTTATCACAAAGAAAACAGTAAATTGATAAGAAATCATTATCTTCAAAAAAAATAATTTGAACGAAACCTTTACGCATTTTCAAAGATTCGCCGACTTTTTGTAAACCATAAAATATATTCATTTTCTTCTTCACTGAACTGTTTCCACCAACAGCAGCAGAAAGACCTTTTCTAGCTAAAAATGATCGTAAATTTTCAAAAAAATTAAATGAAAAAATTTTTTCTTTCATAGACAATCTAACTCCATCTTAGAGCATACTACAAGCAGCAGTTAAAAAAAAACATTTTTAATTGAAAAATACAATTAATTTAATGATAATTAATTCTACGATACCTTGCACATCAAAACTATCCCTAAATTTTTGAGGTTTCACTTGATTTTCTGCAATTTCTGGCTTAATTTCAGTATTTTCACTTCTTAGATCCACTTGTCCTTTAGAATGATCAGTGTCGAGCTTTATCTGCATAAAACAAATAATAAAACAAATTAAATTCCAAATAATAAAATTAATTAAATTCCAAAAAATTTGAGTTAAGAGCATCGGTTGATTAAATCTAAAGTTAAAAATGAGTGAAATAAATTAGAAATTAGCCAAAATAAACTCAAACAATTTACTTCTTCCACTGTTAACGGTTCATCCTGGACTGTTTCTGTGGACGGTGTTTGCACAGATGTAGGTTGTTCACTCTTAGATGGGCTAAGAGAACGTTCTCGCACTTGACCATCTTTCGATGAACTCCCATCAATATCATCATTACAGAATGATCCGGCTACAGCAAGTACTGATGCAGCTGGACTGCTGGGAAGTTGAAGTTCACCAATACTATTTCGAAATGATGGAACGTAATCACCGAGTATGAAAGATAACGCGTCATCATTCAAGTCTCTGATACTAAAAAAAAATATATGATTGAAATGTTCCATTATGATTTAAGTTCTATAAAAAAATCATTATTTTAAATCCTTTAACCTATAGCCCCATTTTACCAACCTGCATCTCCATTCATCGCCACTTTATTTTTCAATAATTAAAATTTTAAATTATCTCTTATTATTAATAGGTCCATCCCGTCGGCTTGTCGGACCAGATAATTTTGCTAATGATTTATTTATGATTTATTATGACTTATGATTATTTATGACGATTGCTAAATTGTTGAGCAAAAAAGAAAAAATGACTCGGTTGTGCGTACTTTTTTACTTAGCAAAACATACTTTGAAAATTCCGACTCGACATCAGATTTTGAGTAGAATGAACTGCCACTAGATTGTCGTCTTAACTGTTCGCGATTACTTGGTATATGACCTGAACCAGACGACAGTTCTCTGAAAAAAGAAAATCTGCAACTTTTTAACCTTCTCAAAGCTCTGTCCTATATTTTTTATTTCAAACAACATATTCCGACATAAAACCAACAAAAATATTGTAGAATACAAGATAAGAAAATATACTGCTTATCTGCAGATTGTTCGGTGCTTAGAATCTTCCCTCTAACACTGCGATCTAATTCCGAAGCTTGGTCACGAGAATGCGTTGCAGCACTTCCACCAGCAACCATACTACTTTGACTTCCAACAGAAGCAAGCATTGGTGTATTATTTCCGCCACTTGTGCCTGAAATAATTAAATTAGAAAAAAAATTTTTCACAAACTCCAGCATATTGAAAGCGCTATACTATTGTTAAGTACTACCTGAACCACGATCAATTCCATCTGTATCATCGATCATTAGTAAATCATCGGTTCTGTGAGAAGGATCAGCTTCCGAATCACTCGCCATCGCATCCACTGACCATGTATCACTCCGATCTTCTAGAACAGGTGCAACCGTTAATGTACCACTACTAATACCAGGCTATATAGCTGGACCTAAGAGAAAGAGAAAAGTCCGATAATTAAATATAAGCTGGAGAAATATTACTCAAGATAAACAGACGATTTGAGACTGTAGTCATCTCATTTGCCTCAGCCACAACTGGTAAAACTGGAACTGGAGGCACATTAGCACCAGGAGGCTGCAAATTTGAGATCACAGGAGCATTATTTCCTTCAGCACGAACATCAACACCGAATCCTTCTGTATCAGATGGTAGGACATCGGTTGACCAGTTTTCGCTGATCAAAGAATGAGTTTCGTCTCCTGCATTAGAAAAAAATTCATTTATATATTTTTCATATATATTTAAATACAAAAGTCACAAAATTCTTGGAAATAGACAGTCCCAGAAAAAAGTACTATATATATTGCGATTTTCTTGTTGAGGAAGACCAAATTTTCCAAACTGTTCTTCAAGCCCTTCTGAATTTTCTCTGCGAATAGCTACGGGAAGATTAAGCGTATTGATACGACGAGACGTATTTGCCAACTGTAACACTCTATTTCCTGAAAATTTAAAATTATCTTTCGCAATCAATATTTATGGCTATACACATACTTCGAGGTTGCTGGATTTGGTCAACAGCTTGATTTTGTTCCTGTCCACCAACCGAAATTGGATCACTAACACTTGGAGATACGCGACCAGATATATTTGCACTACTAGCCATAACATCACTAAAATTATCGGGCAAAGTTGATATCTCGCCATCATCATCCATACCATCAACGTTACCTAAAATTTTATAAATTTACCTAAAATTACCTAAAATTTTATAAATTTTTTCGAGAAAGGAAGTTAATAATATTAAGAAGAGAAAACAAACGAATCGAAAAAATAAAAAAAAATTTCAGACCATCAAGAATATAACAGACCATCAATAGAAGATGATAAACTGGGTGCTTCTTCGTCATCGGTTCCGCCATCCGTAGTGCGATCTATCAATTAGATAGAACAGATTAATGAGCAAAAAAAGAAAATTATAAAATAAGTTAAGAAAGAAATTTAAATTAATTTACCTATGCTCTCCGTATCAACAAACCTCGTTCGTTTTTCGCCTGCACTATCTGATAATTTATGCTTACGAGGAGCGACACGCTGCTGCACTGATTCCATGAATTTTTCTTCAGAACAGAGACCAAGAGGCTCTCGATTTTCACCCAAAGGAAATAATAAAACCTTAGAAAGAAAAAATATTGCAAACTGGTCATCGAAATAAAATATCTTATTGCAAAATCATTTTAAAGAATACACAAATGAAAAGGAAAACAAGTAAACCAACAAAGCATCTAACAAATATTATGAGCTAAAAAATCACCTCCATATTACCATGATCAGCAATGCAAATGTCCTGAACAATAGGCTGAGAATGTGAACGATGTGGTACTCGATGAGCAGCAAATTGTACTAAAATGACTTTGCACTATATGATATATAACAGGCTTTGGAAATGGCTCTATCAAGAATCACTTCTTATGCATTCAATCCACGAGCCCTAGAATTCTAATGACAAAAATTTAAAAATGTTTATGCAAATAAATTAAATAAAAACAGTTATAACATCGAGAAAAACAGATTTTTACCTGCAAAATTCCTCAATTTCGGTTGGCGAAAAGAATTATGGGCCATACTGTGCTTTGGTGAATCATTATGCTTTGTTGCCGTGGCTTTTTGCTACAAGGATCGTTCAATTTGAAATATGCGAAATTTTAAAAAAATGATATACAACAGATCAAATTTATTGCAAAAAATAAATGCTTACACTATTTAACAAATCAGATCGATTAGCGCTAAATCGACAAGGTAATCGTGATCTCAAAGAAAATATTTCATATCGAAAATCATTATCTTCCAAATCTTCCAACGCATTGGAATTGATAACTGAGAGCTTAAAACAATGACAATTTAAAAAATTAATTTTTTAAATAAAAATCAATTATATATAAGCAAATATGGAATACTACAGAAATGCAAAAACATCCAACCAAACAATTCAATTGTTCAACTGTTCCTGCAAAAACGTGCCGAACAAATTGCTCTGTGCCATTTGAATCAGTGTTTATCGGAGGATAAAGTGAATCCAGTGAATCATTATTACTTTCTAGTACGAATTGCACTACTCGAGCCATAGAGTTCTGAATAAATAATTTTGCTCCTCAATTTTTTTGCCTAATCCAACAAAAATAATCAATTGAAAAACGGAAAAAAAAGAAATAACCTGATCAAATTGCGAATAAAAATATTCAAGATGAGATGGAGGCCGTTCGAACGGAGCAACTGCTAATGTTTGCAATATTTGTCCAACTTGCATCAAATTAAATCTGCAAAAATACGTAATGGTCGTTAAAACAAACTTAGAATCCATAGCTCCTTAAAATAAATATAAGCAATGGTTTACTTTTACCTCGCGATATAGCTTATTGGTGTATCAGCAATTACGCCGATAGTTTCAGGATTCGCAATAGCTGGACAAATCAGATGAGTAAATATTAAATCAGTGCATATAAGAGAAGACTGAAAAAATTTCAATTTTATTCGAATAAATTTGATAATTTATTTACTAATTTAATTTTTTCAAAAAGTTACCTGCTCTTGACTTATATTTTTTTTAATTAACGATGTATGCAAATGGCGTACAAGCCAACTTAATGCAGGAGGAAAACATGTCATAGATTGCATTATACCTGTAATATAACATAATACACTTGTTATTACAGTATACCAGTTTTTCACCTAAGTGAACAAATTTTACTTACTATTTCTGGCTTAGCAGGATCTATTGCCTCCTGGGATGAGATAACTTTCCCAAACAATCAATCAGCCATAGAGATGCCGATGAGTTCCCATCGTACAGATTTATTCCTAACATGGGTTTCGCCAATGGGAAGGGATCAGGATTATGGTGGTTTGACCTTAGTTGAAGCAATATGTTAATCAATTATTCTGAATTGCGAAACATGATAAAAATATTCAATAAGCAATATGAACCTTTTAAAAAACGAGAACTTATTGCTAGTAATCGTGCTTCGATATCACTTCGATGGGCAGTTAAATTCTGAAGATAGCTGAGTGAATTTTCATCTTCACCGAATCTGTAAAATAATTACGAAAAATTTCAAAAACATCATTTATTAAACATTATTTATAAATATGACTGAATTTTTTAAAGAGAAAAGTAAGTAAAAATAGAAGTAAAAGAAAAATTTTTTTATGAGAAAATCGTTAGCTGATAGAAGTATATCTGAGATGCTAATAGTGTAAAGAATTTTAAATGATTTAATCGGGCCAGAGAATACGAACGCATGCCGCAAGGAGAGAGATAATTTGAACCCATGATCCATTTGGTCAGGATCTGAAGACAATTCTTCCGAAGACGGTTCTCTGCACTAGTATAATATTGTACAATCGTTTAATTACTTTATTTAATTACATACCTTATTCTTCGCTCTTCTCGTGGAAATCGTAATACAGATTTCGACGGTTCGATGTCCAAAAATATTTCATCATGGCTTAATAAATACATAACAGAATCATGCAAGGCAGCTGTTAAAAAAACCTAAAAATATACTTAAATAATATTGACAAAATATAAACTATTTATATTATAAATTTATAAAATTATGTTAAAAGAGGGAATATTTCCATAATATTTTACCTTGTTAATGGCATAAAAGTGAACAAAAAAGGAACAAAAATGAACAACAAAAGTAAACATATGATGGAGGGATTATCGAAAATTTTCTGCAATATTGTTGCAAAAAAATTAAATTGATGTTGATTATATATTAATATAATTTAACCTTTGCAACATGAAGGTCTTCAGAAAAAAGACGATAAAGACGACAGAAAGAAGTATTTCCTTTACGGAGCACTAATCTTGGATCATTCTGTGAAATAATTTGTAACCGCATAAGATGAGAAAGTACTTCTAGAATTCGACGCTCATCAGCAGGAAATGAGCAGCATCCATATAAAAAGCTGAATACACAATGCACGAATTCTTCATTGATTGCATTGTCTTTCTAGAAGTAAAAATAAAATAAAATAACCAAAACTCTCTAAATCATAGATGATAAAATAATGTAATATTTTCGTTTTTCGTTTTCTCTTAACCTCTTTTTGTTCATAGAAGTAGAATGAGTTTCAATCAAATTTCGAAAATGAACATGAAAAAACCGTGAAAAATGAAGAAAAGAAAAATAAAACCATGTTAAAAAGACAAAACCTTTTGAATTTTATCTGTAGCATGTAGAAGTTGTGCAACAGTAATAGCTGAGCTATACAACAAATTCAATAAATTTGCAGCATTTGCATAATGTTGTCCATCGATTCGATGGTAACCTTCCAGAAAACTCGCTGATTCTAGCTGTGCGACTAACATACAACAATTCTCAGGTATAACGCTCGGATGAGAATTAATTAATTTCGATAATATTATCTATAAAAAAAAAGCAAAAAGTGCGAATTCAATCCAAATCTTTTGCTAAATAGTCTTTTACAAAAGTTTTTTTTGATAATGTGCTTATATAAATGACCTGTTCCTGTCGGCCGACCCACGCCAACTGAGCAACTGTATTTCGTTCATATTCAATTTGTTCATTAAGTCTCTGAAGATTTTCCAATTCACTCGCAACGAGAAGCTTTTCAGATCGAAGACGTTCACAAAGTGTTGCCAATGAATTGTCCTGACCATTACAACACTCCATTAATTATAAAAATCCTTAAAAATCTTAAAATACTTAAAAATAAAATATTTAATAGATATAAAAATAAAAAATAAAATAGAAATACAGATTATTAATGAAAAATAATTAAATTCATTGAATGAAGCTAATCAGTAACAATGAAAAAAAAATTGTTTTCATATATTATAAATTACTAAATGATTTCATTCTTCATTATTAAACTGAATCGGATTGAAATATAATTCAAATAGTATCAAAATACTAGTAAACAATGTAAAATAAACAAAATCAGTTTTCGTATCGTTAAAAATTTATTCATTTATATCAATTATTAAACAAACAGAAATTAAGAAATAATTACATCAACTCTAATATAATAAGTTAAATTCAATCTATGACTTTAAGATTATACAATTAAACTAAATTAAAACAATTAAAAATCCCAATACTAGGGGAATGAAAATTTAATCTATATAATAATAAGAAATCTAAACTTTAAAAAAATAAGGCATTGAAGATCATTTCAATTTAATGTTCCTATGAATACGATAAATCAATGTCTTCAATCATATAAATACAATAAAAAAAACTGCTGATCAATTGAACGCATAGCTAATTTGACCGAATTTAAATTTGATATCGCTACTATAATCCATTGTCATCCTAAAATTAATGAACAGCGACTCTACTTTTTTGAGAGATCTCGTTGGAGGCTTGAAATTCATTCATACGCCGCTCAAGTTCAGGTCGAAAATGACGAATTAAGCCCTGAAAAATATATGGAAAGATGGAAGAATTTAGCCAATTGCCACATCACATTTTTTTCTAACATGTCGCACCATTACTGATCTGGATGACTCAAACTTCCGCCTAATATAAAACTAATTTCTTTGGTTTTCAATAAAATCCATAGATCTCAGACGACCTAAAAATAATCTATGATATACATTCTAAAAGTTTGAAATTATTACAAATAAAGAAAGACTTAGACTGCAAAGCCAGAAAAAAAGGCTTTTCGAATATCTTAAACATATATAATATATATGCAAAAAACCTCAAAATCATGGAAGAAAGCGAATATTTAAAATATCTGAATAAACTATTTATATCTTTAGAGAATACAAATTAACCAGCGGAAATGTTAAAAAAAACCTGAACTGGCCAAGCGGCTGCATCACCCAATGCACAAATTGTATGTCCTTCGATTTGCTTGCTCAATTCCCACATCATGTCGATTTCTGGTGTTTTCGCATTGCCACAAACAAAACGCCACATCATTTTATTCAGCCAAGATGTACCTTCACGACATGGCGTGCACTTCAATATAACTTTTAAAGCTACAGAAATAGATTATAAACAAATTGTTAGAAATTGTTGAAAAAAAATATAACAAGAGAATAATTATTTTAAAAATTTGCCAATAATAAAAATCCATAAATAAATGGATCTACCTGGCCACAGCTTTCATGTTTATAAAAAAGTGAAAGTCTAGCAATAGCTTTCACGATATCTGTTTGTTTATTCATCACTATCACTGCTGCAGTTCCAAGACCCGTTCCTGCCTGAATAAGTGCATCGAAATCCATTAGTACTGTCTCACAGATGCTGCAAGGAACAATAAAATATCCATGAAATTCCTCAATTTTGAAATCATTAAATATTAGAAAATAAATCCGAAATATCTGTGTACGCTGGAATACGCTTTTAATGATTATCAAGAATATCAAGAATTTATACAAGCCTACCCTATTTTTCTGAAACAAAAATAATTTTTAAATGCATCCAGGGGAGATAAAATGATATTTACCTGTGAGCAATATTTCTTTAAAACATTATTGAATATTATTTTCAATGTTGTTATTGAAATCATTGTTTTTATTTTAATAAAATCAATTATATTTTTTTAGCTCTCTGCTTATACTCTAATTCAAAATTTTTTGAACATAATTTTGATAAAAGGATATAAAATAAAGGATATAAAATAATCAGAATATAAAATAAAGGTCAGAATATAAACGGTTCATGGTTATTATTATAATCTACCATCCTTTCTCTCTTATAAAAATTGAACCTAAAAAAAGGCACTCAGATAGCGATGAAGTAAGGAACGATGCTCATCAAAAAATTAAAATAACTTTTTAGCAGAAAACAATGGAAAATAAAAAAAAAACTAACTCTTTAGGTATAAGTGGAACTGACGAACCTCCGGGTATAATGGCCAGAAGATTGTCCCAGCCGCCTATTACACCTCCACAATGTCTTTCAATAAGCTCCTTTAATGAAATCGACATTTCTTCTTCAACTGTACATGGATTCACCACATGTCCCGAAATACAAAATAACTGAAAGAAATGGCAGATAGAAAATGAGAAAGAAAATAAAGAATTTCAACCAATACAGATAATGAAATTATTTTGCTTTTCATCTATTTTCCAATGATAAAAATATAAAAAAAGTCTTTTAATGAAATATTCATTTCATATCAAAGAAAAATTGATAGATTCTACGAAATCAGAAACTTTATGAATCAATGAAGAGAAAAATACATTCGAATCAAGCCAATAAAAAATTGAAATAAATAAATCATTTACTTTAGTTCCATGATTTCGTTCGCGCCCAAAAGATGAAAACCAAGCTCCACCTCTACGGCAAATCGTGGGTGCTGACGCTATCGTCTCGACATTGTTAACAGTAGTTGGACATCCAAAAAGACCAACGTCAGCGGGGAATGGTGGTTTAAGACGAGGTTTACCTTGTTTTCCTTCGATGGATTCAATTAATGCCTATAAATGAAATGCAAAAAAAATTCGATACATAATGGATAATTTGATCAAAAACTCAAAACTTCAAAAATTTCTACCAAATTTTGCTAAATCAAATCTATTTTAATAACCATTAGTGCAAATTAAAATCAATAATAGATTCAATCTATGAAAGCAGTAATTATGGAAAAAAATGACTAAACCGTTTCTTCGCCACAAATATATGCACCCGCACCTCGATGGACAAATATATCGAAGTTATATCCCGTTCCGAAACAATCTTCTCCGATAAAACCTTCCTGAAATAAAATGGAAAACAAATAAGAAACTGATAAAAACTTAAACAAATGATTTCAAAAAATATTTTTAAAAAATGGGAAAAAAACAAAAAAAGCAACAAAAAATATTTATATCCACAGAAGTCTCCTCTTTTTTTTTTCTCCTTTTAATCGTATGCAAGAAAATTAAAAGATAAATAGAAATTATAGATAATCACTACCTTATAAGCTTCAGCAATTGCCTCTTGCAAAATTGCAGCTTCATTATAAAATTCACCACGAACATAAATATAAGCAGCTCGAGCATCCATCGCGACACCAGCAATTAAACAACCTTCAATTAGCTTATGGGGATCATGTCGCATTATTTCACGATCTTTACATGTTCCAGGTTCACCCTCATCAGCATTCACAACAAGGTATTTTGGCCTGAAAAAAAAGTTATGTAAAAAATTAATCATTAGAAAAAAATAAAGGACCATTCAATTTTTACTTTCATATTACAATTTTATTTAAGAATATAAAATTTATAGATTTTTAAATAAAACCTAAAAAATAAAAAATTTATAAACATTCTTAAAGTTTAAATCCATAGAATTTCAATATTTTAAAAAATTGTGCATAACAAAAAAAAATTCAAATTAATCAAATAAATTGAAAAAATGAAAAAATGAGTAAAATAATGAAAAAATTTGGCATTCTACATAAGAATATTAAAGATAAGTTGTAAATAAATCTAGTAAAAATAAAACTGCATATATATTGCACATACTACCTGCCATCGAAAGGACGTTTCATGAAACTCCACTTCATGCCTGTTGGAAAACCAGCTCCACCTCGACCACGCATTCCAGATGCAGCCATTTCTTTCATTATCCAGTCTTTACCTTTTAACAGAATTTCTTTTGTTTTATACCAATCACCTCGTTGCATTGCCGCTTTCAACCGAAAATCATGGCGACCATATAAATTTGTGAAGATGCGATCTTCATCTTTCAATGGGCCAAACGTTGTTTTTTTTGGCTTTTCAGTAGATTCATTCGACGAAGCGCTCACTAATCCACGAAAAACATTTCCAGACAAAACTGGAAAATTTCATAATTTATTTTAAATTCTTTTTCTTCTAATTGATATCTTACGTTAATATATTTTTAAATATTTTATGCTAAAATTTATGAAAATTTATAAAAATAATTAAACGAAATAATTGAAATAAATAAATAATTGCAAATAATTTTTTTATAAATTTATTCTATAATTTTTTAAATATGCTTAACAAAATCCAATAATTTTTTAAAAAACGGTTGGATAAATATTAAAAATGTAAAAAAATATGCAATTTCGTATTTCATCAAAAAATGATTAGCAATTAGTGCTTTTTCGCGATAAAATTATAGATGGATACTAGAAACACTCGGATTTTCCTCGTTATGGCAGGAAATTGAACCTATAATACGTGAAGCGAATCGAAGCAATTAACCATTCTTATCTAGTGAAAAGTGAGAAATACGTGTAATGAAATAAGTCAATTTCGTATTTTTTATTATATTTTGAACATTAATATCAATATTTAAAATATATTTTAATATTAATATTAAATAATATTTAATATTTTAAATATATTTTAATATTAATATTTAATATTTAGAATATTTTAAAATATTTAAAATATTAAAGCATCGAAATATTTTAAATACATTTTATTTTTTTATTTATTTTAGGTAATACTATATAATATAAAAAAAATTATATATATTATAAACAATATATATATTTCAATATTTTTTCAATATTTCAATATTTTTTTTTATAACTGCGTAAGCAATAAACAAAACCAAACCGATTAGAATTTCAAACCCATTTTTATCTTTGTTTTTTATTATTTTAATAAAAATTTCATTAAAAAAATTTATAAAATTTATAAATTTGAAATTTATAAAAAATTTATAGCATTTAAGCAAAAATAAGTGAAAAAAAAGAAGGAAACAAGAGAAATAACCTTGTAATGTTCGTTTGGAAAAACTGGTCACCACGATGAGCATAGCATAAGCGAATTATTTAACCAGTCGATTACCGAAAAACAAGAACCATTAAAAATAATCCTTTTGAGATTTTCTAGGGATTTCCACTCATCAATTGCACCTAATTTTAAAGCGAATCTTTGGCGAAAGAATTTTCAGCCCATTAATGGATCTCTGGCAAAGCTCACCTCATCCCATTAATAAATATTTGGTCAATTAGTCTATTATAACCACTGTGGTCACATAATCCCCGTGGAACCATAACCCCCGCACTCCCACAGCCCAGTTAGTTCGGATAGTTAGCTGTTGTTACTCTTGAAACGGCTCCTTTTAAAGTCAATTGAAAGAACCAGTGATAACAAAATTTTATCAAAGGACAACCGAAACAAAGCTTTAAAAAAAAGCCATCGGCATGACTTCGACTTTACGATTGATCATCTCGAGAAGCCGCTTTTTAAAGGTCTATTCGTCGGCTTTTAGTGAAAATATGTTAAAAGCTTTGGCAGGACTGGGACCATTGGTGTAATTTCTCGAGGGTGCTAACCTGGTTATTTCAATTTCATCTTTGTTTTTGATAAAAAAATATGGTCACATTAGCTTTCATCGTATATGTTTGACCGCGTGGATCCAAGAAAACCTATAGAAAACTTTTCTCGTCGACCACAATTGCCAATTTTCGCTATTATTTTAAAATTCATAGCGTAAATTCTAAATAAAATTTTGAAAAATTTAGAATATAAAATTTGACTCGTTAATCGCTAATCTGATAAATGATTATTGGCAAATGGCCGCTGTTTGAGCTGAAAAAAGACTTGAATTACGTCTTATAATAATTGTTCGAGAAAGGAATTATTTGGGGGCATCGTTTTTTTTTTTTCATAAATTCCGTAATCACCGAATTTGTGCTATTTGAATGAAAAAATCCCCTTCGCGGCAGAGCTTTTGAGCTTCGCGAATTGAATTATTATATTTTTGAATCTTTTTCAATTTTTCGATTTTTCTAATGTTTTTTTAGATTTTCAGAATTATTGATTATTTCTTCTTTTTTTTTTTTTATTATATTATACTGAAAGAAGAAAAGCGTTGTATGTCTAATAAGAAGCAAATTCAAATCAGTTTAACAGATTTTATGAAATCGGAAATGCCAAAGAATTCCTCGAGTCGTTCATCAGCACGTCAAGTTTGTTTCTTTTCATTTTATTAAAAATATTTCTTTTTTATTTAATTTATTTCTAAAAAAATTGAAAATAATTTTAGATGTCGAATTATATGCAATCTTCTCCACTCGTTTCTTTCGATTTTAGCAATGATCCTAAAGTTATCGAAGCACGAAAACGAATTCTTCAGGCGAAGGTTTTTATTTTGCATAAAATATTTATTTAAAAAAAAAAAGTGAAATTTTGGTTCGATGGAAATTATTTTATATTTTATTTCAAAATAATTTATATTTTATATAATATTTAAATATAAATTTTTTATTAGTTCTATATTTTTTTGTTATTTGTCAGGTTATTTTATTCATTTATGCAATTTTTTACGAATGTTATAATTTTTTCTCATATACTTATATTTTAAGTAACGTTTGTGTGCGTGCATAGTGTATTGCTAATGGGGTAGAGCGATGTGGCAGAGACCAGCAATGATCAGATGTTCAGTACTGATTATTTCTTGAGCTCTGCAAAAAGTATTCGTTTCTTAGTTTGAGGGTGTTGTTCATTGCAGGGACAGCACTTTAAGGTTGAAACAGACATATTTTTTCTAAAATATTCTCACATTATCTTTTTTGTTTTTTTTTTTGAACATGAAATATTAGCATTGTTTTGTAAATGAATATTTTTTTAAAATTTATTTTTAAAATATTTTTAAAATTATTTTTTATCGAGAATCTCAAGTATAACATTAAAACAATAAATTACAACAGTTAAGAGAAACATTATATTTGAATGTTTTTTAGAAATTTTATTTAATAAGTTTTTACGATATTTATGCTATAATTTAAATGCTGTAAACCATGAAAAGCAGTTCACAGTTCAGTTGAATCATAGAAATTGTAAAATTTTCATAATTTTATTTTTATAACTTTCATTTGTAGGTTAACACGGAAAAACGAGTCGAGAACAATGAGGAAAATGGGAGTGATGGTTTTACTTCAGAAAAAAGGAAGGTGAAAGATGGAAAATCGGAGCAAAAATCTACAAATCTTCATTTCGATTTCAAGTGCTCTTTATTTGCTTTTTAAATTTTAATTTTACTTTGCGTAATTTAAATTTTTGATTCTTTCTTGATTTCAGAACTGCGAGCGGACGACCAGTTTGTAAAGAAGTTTTGGTCGTCGCTTCTACAGAGGTTCACTTGGTTTCTCTGGGTTAACAATTTTTCGATTCAATAAAGAGTGCAATAGTAACGATTTTATTTTTACAGGAAGAAAATTTAGAAGATTCAACTAGATCGCAACGTGAGAATCGTGAGCGGCACTTAGGCTACAAGTGTTCATTCATTTTCTTCGCCAAAAAAGAAAATTTTTAAATTTTCTTTTTTTTCTCATCTTTGTCGTTCATTTTTCTGAAAAATTATTTTTAGATCTTTTTTTCTAGGCGATATGCTAAATCACAATTTTTGCCCCCTAGGACTGAATTCGAATCTGAAAAGGATAGTTGTTTAAAACGTTGTCCAACAAATGATAAGGTTATTCGCAAAAGGGAAGGATGGAAAGCGAATGAAAGTCTGAAACGTTTCGAGGAAAATATCATTGATTTGATTGAGGCTGAGGTGAGGTGATCTTGGATTGTTTTTTTCTATTCAACTTTAAATTTTTATATCATTTCAGATAATGTCAAGGAATGTTGACACCGATTGGGGTGATGTTGCTGGACTTGAAAATATTAAAAAAGCTCTGAAAGAAATTATTATTTTACCATTTCTTAGACCGTATGTTTCATATAGTTTTTTTAAAAACTATTTAATATCTGATATTCTTCTTCTTTTTATTTTTTCTTTTCCTTGCTAAAAATCTCTTTAAACCTACTTAAAAAGATTAATTTAATTTTCAAATTTCAGCGATATTTTTACTGGAATTCGTGCTCCACCAAAAGGAGTTCTTTTATTTGGGCCTCCAGGAACCGGCAAGACATTAATTGGTAATTTTTACGCACTTTTTTTTCATTTTTGAATTATAGAAGAAATAATACAAATTCAAAGTTTTAGGTCGATGCATTGCTTCACAGTGCAAAGCAACTTTCTTTAATATTGCTGCTTCGTCAATAACATCAAAATGGGTTGGTGAAGGCGAAAAACTCGTGCGTGCACTTTTCGGCATCGCTCGAGTTTTGCAGCCTTCCATCATATTTATCGATGAAGTTTGCTTTTAATTTTTTAATACTTTTTAAAGTACAATTGAAAAAAATTGATTTTTACTCCAAAAATTTGGATGAATTATATTTTTAAGATTGTTTAAGATAAAGAATATAAATTTTTCGAAAAATTAAATTCCATATCAAAAATTTAAAGATTGTTTCAAGATTGATTCTTTATTGGTAAGTCGAAGTGAAGGAGAGCACGAATCATCGCGAAGAATAAAAACGGAATTTCTTATTAACTTGGATGGTTTAGCCACTTCATCTGATGAAAAGATTCTTGTCCTTGGTGCCACCAATCGGTAATTTTACCTATTATTTATTGTTCTTTTCAATATATTATGCTTCTTATTGATTTTGACTCTTTTTTCTTTGCTTCCTTACAATTCTTTGAATTTTGGAATTTTTAAAATTTTTTAAAACTAAAACTTGTAGACCGTACGAATTGGATGATGCAGCGAAGAGAAGATTTGCTAAGCGACTTTATGTTGGACTGCCTTGCCAGATTGCCCGATTGCAAATTATACATTCTCTTTTAAACGATCAGAAGCACATTATAAGTGAAGAAGAGATGCTGCGAATCGCAAATATAACTGATGGTATTTTCGTTTGCTAAAACATTCTCTTATTTTCGATCGTTAAATGATTTTTATAGTTTCCATTCAAGGATATTCTGGTGCAGACATGAAGCAACTTTGTGCTGAGGCTGCCTTAGGACCAATTCGTGATATTGTGGATTCATCATCACTCGATATTGCAACAATTCAGAAAGATGATGTTTGTTATTTTTTAAAATTAATCTCTCTTTCAGTTTCTTTGTTATTTGTCGGAAAATTCACATTGTTTTTTCAAGGTACGACCAATTTCTTTTCGTGATTTTGATGAAGCATTGGTGACGGTGCGCCCTACTGTTGCTGAAAAAGATCTTTTCGCCTACCAAAACTGGAATCAACAATTCGGTTCTATTCAGTATTAACGGCCATTTTATTGCCGAATTTCACCATTTTATGTATTTATTGTTGATCACTGGAATTATTGTGTTTTATGCTCTGTGAATAAACATTCTATCTTTTGTATTTTGTTCATTTTGCAGTTTTTTATTGCAAACATATTGTTTTTTCCGAATTCTTGCGTTTTGATCACAATTAGCATTTATTACTAACTGATTAAAGGTTGCATTTTTTTTTTTTTGATTTTATTATAAATATATTATTGATAAATGTGTTAAATAATATATTTATTGATTATAATACTTTGAAATTATTTGATTTCAGCTAGATATTTTTTTTTTCTAACAGCATTTCTGATTAGGCACGCTTCACTGGATTTCCGGGCCAAAAAAATTTTGCTAGGGAATTAATTGGCTATAGAAGTGCAAGTAAGTAAGTTGCTAGCACTGAATTTTCAAAAAATAGGTTCATGCCGGGGGTTGAACTCCGGCAACGATGCTCTGAAATGAAAACAATAATTATATTCTACCCACAAGCTAAGGACTCATAAATTCTAAAATCCCCATTGATATGATTATACTCCTTTTCTTCTTTCTAAAAGTGTTTTTCATTTACATCAATTAAAATCATTTTAAGCTGAAAAAGCTGCTTAAGATTATCAAATAAGGATTTCTGGAGTGAGGAAAAGAGGAATTATTTATGCCTTCTTCTTCTAGCAGCTCTCACCGTTACTGGTTAGGCTGGCTTCAACAGCTACAAGAGTGAGACGTCTCCAAGCCTAGTAGTAATAGAAGCCATTCCTTTTTCCTTTTTTGTTATTTAAGTATAATAATTTGAATATTTTGTGCTCCTTTCAAAATGTATTAGAATTTTTCATTTTATTTTTCTTTTTCTTTCGAATTTATTTGATTTATTGTTGTTTATGAATTTTTTTTAATAATAATTAAATTGTTTAAAATTATATTAAATTTTTTTAAATTTTCTCTGTTATGGATTAGTTTTCCTTTAAAAAAATAAATTTAAATAATAAAAATATAATAAAACAATTTTTCATTCAAAGATGTGGCGTTGTATTTTCTTATAAATTTTCGCATTTTATTTTTTTCTGATTGAAAATTATTTAGAGAAAAAAAAAAGAAAAAAACTATAGGTTAGTGGAAAATTATTGTAGTTCTAATCCATTGCATCGATTTTTTATTATTTTTATCGTTAAAACGGTGAGGTGAACGATTTTTTTTCGAATTTCCAAGAATTCAGCTTTCAGTTGTTTTTTTTCTTGAAAATTATTTTTAGATATTTTAGTTTGTAAATTATGGATGGCACTACTGAATTAACGACATATAAGCAACAGGTTTGTTTAATTTTTTCATTTCGAATAGCCTGAATAACGATAAATTTTTATAATGAAAAAATTTTATAGAAAGAAATGAAAAATGAACAAGGAGACTCAAAATTGTAATAAAAAATGCACTGTACGGTACACAAATAGACTAACATAGAGGGACGGAGAGCGCCCTATCCGATTTCCGATTACACTTCCTCCATTTGATATTAATTATTATAGGGAGAGAGAGAGAGATTTATTCTTACCTAGAATAGGGTCCTAGCACCAGCTAAATGAGGGCAACAACCCTTTATCATTATCTGTACCAGTGTTCAAGTAGCAGTGAAGTAATAATAACAAGTAATAGAAAGAAAAATGGTAAGATATTAAATGGAGCTGCGGCTAATGATTATTGCCGTCGCTTCTATCTCTCAAAAATTTCTCTTAAATGATTAATTATGGAATTATTTGATGTTTGCCATTTATCTACTTTGTTGTGCGTTTTAAGCAGTGGAAGATAGCGAATGAAGCAATTTGATAGAATTTGATAGATCCGCAGATCGGATTGTGACCACTGCTCACCGAAAGGCACATAAAGATATTCTAGCATAGGCAAATTATTATAAGTTTATCCTAAGGACTTTTACCATTTCACCAATTGTGATTAAAGCTGGATGATGTGGACAACGAATTAATGAACTGTGATAATTTGGAACGTCGAAATGAATTGCTTACAGCTCGAGCAGATCTTGTTGAGTTGATTGATCTTCTTTCTGGTTTGGTTTGCTTTTTGCTAAAATACCATTTTTTTAAAAAAGCACAATTTATGCTGAAACGATTGTCATTTCCTTCTAAAAAATTTACTAAGTAACGAATTCTAAAAAAAAACAATATTCATGGTTTTTTTCTGATTTATTTTCACCGACACTTTTCAAGCCGAGAATTTTCTTTTTCTTTCTTAACTTGTTTTTTTTTTTTTCAGTTGTCCCTTACCATTTCAAGTTTTCATCCTTCATTATCTAAAATTTTTAAGTTATAGATGAAAGAATTTTTTTCATATTGAAAACATTTTCTAGCATATGGAATTTGGATTCTTTTGAAAAAAATTTCCAACATATATGTACTGTATTTTATAAAAGAAAACCATTTTTCTTAGCCCTGTGGGTGGTGGTCACATCATCGTCGACCTCTACCGAAGGCCTGGGAGATTGAGGATTCTGCGCAGTATCTTAGCTGCTCCTAATAATGCGCTTTTCTGGATAGAGATCTCTGATGTTGTTCTTGGAATTTGCTGAAGCTACTTTTCTAGTTTAGCTTTTCTAGAATCACAATTCCAAGTGCTCCAGTCATCACTGGGATTACTTCGGTCTTTATTTTCCACATCTTCTCTAGTTCTTCTTTCAGTCCTTGTTATTTCTCTAATATTCATTCTCCTTCCTTCCAGTGTTCCTATCACGTATTGCTATCTATTGCTATCAATGTTGATTTCTGTTATATATCAGTACTTTTAGAAAATCTTGATGAAGATACTGCAAATAACGCTCATCAACTGTCTTCATTTTATAATGAATCAGATCAATCAAATGGCAATAACCAATCGGAAAATGCATTTAACGAAGAATGCGAGATTTCTGCAGATGAAATTATTGGAATGAACTGTCGTGCACCATATAAACGAATTGTTGATAAAGCTATTCATTTGCATGATGCAATTATTTTGGAGTTGATCAACAATGGCGATTGCTCATTAAAAGTATTAAATTTTTTGAATGACTTAAAATCTGCTTATTTCAATTATTTATTTTTTAAATCGATTTTTTTTCGATTTTATCCAAGAAAGAATAGCTGAGTGGCTCAACTTGGGGGCATCGATGCTGATTCTGCTCTCCTCGAAAAATCTGGGTAATGCTGGCGTAGTTCTATCGCCAAGATACTCCTTGGCATATTTGTCTAGTGCGACAAGCCAATGGAGCGAGTCTAATCAGTAATGGTGAGGGTTCTTCAACAAAAATCCAAGAATTGTGGAGAAACGATTTCGAGAAGATGGAAAGGATATTTTATGAAAAAGGATTTTATATTTTATTGGAAGTAGAATATTTTGAAATGTTTATAATTAAAGTTTTAGGTAAAAATTTTATATTGTTATCCTTTGGAATTAGCAATGAAACCATGTGAATATTTTTTAAATGATCGTTGCTCATATGGTGAAAACTGTAAATATTCGCACGGCGAAGAAGTTATGTTTTCCGATTTACTGGAATATGTTCCTCCTGATTTCTCGTGAGCCTCTTTCATTTTTATTGATTCATCTGTTTATTTATAAATATTAGCATAGATAAGTAATTCCTGTTATTCTTTATTTTTAACCATTATTTTCAATTTCGATTGTGAACCGTTTTAAAACTTACAAAAATAAACAGTAATAATAAACAGATAATTTTGTTCGTAGGATTTAAATGTATTTTGATTTTAATTAATTTAATTAATTTAATTTTTCCTTTAAATATTAGGGTTAAAAAAATTATCGAAAATTGTAGGAATTTGGTTGAAGATTCTTTGGTTCTTGTGCAAGTAGAAAATGGTTTATGGTGCAGTGGTAGAGTGACAGCTGTTGATGATGAAAATCTTGCGGTTAAACTGCTTTCAACTGGAAAAGAGGTTGCTACACTAAGAAGCAAAGTTTTACCTCTTCCTGAATTCTCCAAAGATTCTTCTTTAGGTAATTCATTTTTTAATTTTAGTTGAAGTTGGTGTATTTCTTGTATTTTACACAATATTGTGCCGATGTTGGGGTTCTATTGCGCCCATAAGAATATGAATAAACCTGTCCAAAATATATATATATATATATAATATGCTTTGTGATAATTATGCGACTGAGTGAGGTTGGATATTTTCTTAAATCTGAACCACTGATTGATTGGTCCTACAGGTTAACTGCATTATTAAATACATTTATATTAATGTCCCAGATTTGGAAGTATCGGAACAAAGTTCTTCTTCCTCATCTTGGCAAGAATTAAAAGGTGAAACAAAAGGTCGCGTTACTATTGGAGATCTCGGAGATTGGGAAAAGCATACTCGTGGTATTGGAATGAAACTGCTTTTAAAAATGGGATATCGAGTTGGAGAAGGTTTGGGTCGCAATTCAGATGGTATTGTTCACGCTATTCAACCTGTTATTTTTCCGAAAAGTTAGTATTTGTCTTTTAGGAACAATTTTTTTATTTTAGAGATTTTTTAGAGAACAAATTTTAGAGATTAATTATAAGGGAAATTTCTAATTAAAAAAAAACAGAACATTAAAATGGTGATTTTTTTATCATTCATAGCTTCGCCATTTTTTGTAGTTATATATTGCCACTCTCTAAAACCCTTTATCACCTTTATTACTTTTATTGTTAATCAATCAGATTTTTAGATAAATCGGTGGATATTTGTATGGAATCAAAGAAAAAAGTTATTGATGGTTTGAATCAAAAACGAGATTGTGTAAAGCGAGCTATAGCTAAGAAATTGGCGGAATCAGCTGCTAACAATAATGTCTTTGCTCTTATTAATAAATTAAATCCCGAGACACAGAAAGTTTTGGATCATGAAGACAAGCAGTTAAAGGTATCATTTTAAAAAAATTTTATCATTTTTTTTTAAATCTTGATGAAATAAATTCTTTTAAAACTCGAACTTTTAAATATTCTACAGAATATCGAAAGATTTTCTATGATGAATTTAGAAATTTAAAGTAGCAATTCAAAGGGTTCGATTTTAGGCATCTTCATCAAAATGTTTGGGTATTCATTCATTAAATATAGACAAGGAGATAAAAGAACTGAAAATAAAAGAACGAAAATTGCATGAAGGGATTGCAAGAAATATGCGAGATCGAACGACAGCTGAAAGGTTAAAACGAAATTTAGCACATTGTCAACAAGAAATTGCAAAATTAAAGAAGCGGCAGCAACGGTTGGCTAATGAGATTGATAATCGACGCTATAAGAAGGATATTTTTTAATAAATTTTGTTAACTTATTGATATATATTTATACCGACATATTTGTATATGTATTTTTAATACACTGGTATATATATTCATAAAAATTTTGAGATATATGATTCATTTAGGAGTTGTGATATTTAGAAGATGAAAAATGAATAGTGAATAGATCCTTGCGCTTTAATTATAAAGTTGTCAAATCAAAATATAGCAGTAAAGTCAAAAGGAGCGATTTATGAGCGAGTAAATTCATTATTTTTAATATTAATTTCGTAATTTGGTACTACATGCGATAGGTATGTAAACCCTGACAGTTTTTTGAAGTGAGAACTAGTATGGTATGCATAGAATGTTCTTTTTCTCATAAACTTCGAAAATTGCAAAAAATTAGATGATGAAACACTGCTGTAGGCGATCCAGAAGTACAATTCAGAACAATAGTACCACGAGACTCGAAGAGCATTCACCATTACTGGTTAGACTCGCTTCTTTGGTTTGTCGTAATAGGCATATATGCTAGGGAGTCCCTTTGCGATAGAAGTACTAATGAGTCGGCAACCATTAACTATTGTAGGCTTTCTGATGATTGCACAGTTATTATTGCAAATACTTCCTTTATCCATTCTTTTAGTACCCTTCAGTTCCTGTTTATTTCCGTTTAGAAAAGTATTGTCAACATCTTATCTTCTGGTTTTTTTTTATAAATATTGCTATTTTTATTTTATTTTTATTAAAGCAAATGTCTTTATTCGTATTGTATATATTTAATAAATAATAAATAAATAAATAAACAAGGCGAATAGATCAAGTCATTTAGCTTTTATGCATGAAACTACAGTGGCCACTGCTATAAATGCAGTTCAAAAGGAATCTGAATACAAGTTCCTCCAGTTAAACCCAGGTCATCAGTTCTAGTTGGAACTGTAACCCAAGATTCTTCTCAGTAAATGAAAGCTGAAAGGACCATTCCAACTCACTGATATTTTCATAACTCCGTATGATCCAGGGACGATCTCAATAGAATCCATAAAGCTCATACCAGTAATGATAAGATATTTCATCCGTGGCCGAATGACCGAATTAAAAAGCAGGGAAAATGTAATGATTAATGTGGAACGTTTATTATTAAGTACCTTTATTGTAGTAATGTCCTATGCCTCCTATATGCTTTACTGGTTTCGTCGAGTTATTGGTCTTTCCGCACGTTTCATTATCATTATTGAATTTGGTCAAATAGTGTAAATCGTTACGACCTATTATTATTAATACAAAATACTGTTTTCTGCTGTGGTACTTGCGGTTGAATTATTCAATTTCTAAATTATTGTTCTAACGTGGTTTCCGTAAAGTTACTTACTAATAGATGTTTTCTACGCGAAAGACTGTGGAAGGAACAAAAATATCTACTGATGCGCTTATATTTTATAACATATAATAAGCATAGCCAAGGTTAACGACGGGGAACTTCCTTATATATATTGTGTAGGTCAGTCATCTCGGATAGATTAAGACAGAGAAAAAATATGTTCATATGTTAAACGAGCCATTTTCGAATAGATCAAATAGAATGCAGAGATGATAGCAATAAATAAGGATAAAATGTGGAGGAGTTGAATAAGGCGATGTAGACTGTAGAGGTGAGGAAGAAAGGAACAAAGGAAGGAAGATAGGAGGAAGGAAAGAAGAAGGAAAATGCACTTTCGGCCTTATCTCCGCTATATTCATGGGTACCGGATAACCGATAAGTTTTGCCGAACTTTATTTGTAATAATTTTCGAATATTTTTTAAATGTACCAGGAGAACGCTAATATTTTTATCAAAAACATTGTGCTGCTAAGTTTGATTTTGTGCTGTAAATAGTGGTAATTTAAAGATAAGCGCCAAATTCTGGAATATCTTTAAAACCATCAAAAATTTTTGGATACTACTAGTATATCAAGTGGTGGGTAGGGGAGAGGAGGAGGTGTGAGGGTGTGGTACTCGGAAATTGGTTCGTTGTAAAGTTGGGTGGGTGCAGGCTGTTCTTTAGAGCTGTTCTTGAGTCGGTGAAAAAACTTAGAAGGAAATATAATTTACGTTTAATTTATTGCTTTATATCTAAATTTACTAATCGGTAATTTTAGTTTTTTTTATTTTTTATCATTTTTTATCATTTTATTTTTTAATTCATCCGAAAAATCTGTTTTTCTAAATTTTTTTAAATTTTAGTATATTTATATTAATTCATTTATCATTATTTTATTTTAATGAGAAAGAAAGCAATGAAGATTGCTATCAGAAAAGGCTCACTTCTCATAATACTGTTTTTGCATAGGTTTTAATTGTTATCCACTTTATTTGCCTTCGTGGAGGGCTTTCACCATTTCTCATCACTCGTCATTCTTCTGGTTTATCGAATTTTTGCTATGAATTCATCTGGTATTGAGAAATATGAGATCACTCGTTAACACCACCGGATTTTTAAATGACTTATTTATTAGAATTTCACCATTAGCGCTTCCAAATGAGGCCGAAAACACGCTAAGCTATTATATTAAAATGTCAAATAATTGTAGTAATTCTATCAACGATTTTATGTCGTAATTTTAGGTGCTGCCGCAGACAACACTATTAAGCAGGCTTTTAAAGCTGAAAATGGGGGCGAAAGCACTCGGCGGCCTGCTGCAGAAATTATAGGAAGGAGCACTGGTCCTGCAGTCGGAATTTTTCATTTGACTTCTATTAAATTCGATACGGCGTTTTAGAGATTTTCCTAATATCAACGATCAGAATTTAATTTATGTCAAATTCATTTGTAAAATTCATTAATTATTCGCTTATCATCTGATTAATAGAAATTTATCATCGTGAAGAAAATTGAATGAAATTTGAAGATTTTATCGACAGTTTGCATTGTCCTTGGCAATCAATCGTCTTAAGCAAACAATTTTCTAATTTTTTCTTATTATACAAAGAAATATAGCAAATATATTTAACTAAAATATGGACTATCTCTTACATACTTATTTTTTCAATTACTTACCTTTTGAAGTATCACAATCAACTAAGAAAGCAATCACAATGAGCGCTATGGAAATTGTTCGGGTAAGTATCATTTTTATTTCTTTTGGATTTTACCACATAAGTTGTGATTATAAACATAAAATTATATATAATTTAATATTTGAGCTCCATTGGTTCTTATTATAAGGTCGGTTTATGAAAATAAGGACCTGGGATTCTGTCTTCAATACGGTTAAACTCATATCATTGAAAAATATAGGTGGTGATAGAGACTTACTTACGTATTTCTTTTCATTAACTAAAATTTTTTCGTTGATAATTTCTTATCATACTAATAGCAATTCTCTAGCAATAGCAGCTAATCCAACCAGAAATAGTGAGCGCGTTACTTCTTTTTATTGTTGATAAAATAGTAACTAATAAATAATATATAAATGTTATAAGGTTTTCTTTAATTTATTACATGTTCAAAGTACTTCGGTGTTTTTTTGCAGTTAGTATTGGTACTTAATTTTATATGTTTAACCTAAGCAATATTTTATTATTGTATAGTTATAGGTTTAATAGTATAAACAGTGCTAATAAAGTACGTGGCACTTATTTTAGTATTTAACTATATTGTAGTTTGTTTTTTCAAGACTTCAGATCAAAGTTCTCGTTATGAGGATCTGTTAGCCGCTGAAGATTTAATGGATTTGAGTATAATGGTGATAATCTCTTTTTTATGTGTTTTTTATCTTTTTAGTAATATTTTTTATTTATTATTTAATGTTTTTTAATATTTTTGAGATTATTATAATGCTTTGAAATTTCTTTTTTACATAAATTTTGTTTAACTTCATTTAAAAAGTTCTTTTTAGATCGGTGATTGGGCACTCAGAATTCAAGATCCTCGTAAGGTTATTGCCAATCATACAAGCTTAGTTGTTGCGGAAATTGTTTTCACATTTGCATGTTTGCTGACTTTTCTTCATGGTTTATTATATTCTTATCTATTACATTTATTTTTTTAGTTTTCTAATAGTTTAGCTTGATCTCTTTTACGCCTCATTAGTTTTTATTCCATTAATTTTTATTTTTTAAATTTTTTTCAGTTTTAATTATTTTAAATTTTTTTTCAATTTTAGTTATTATTAATTTTTTTTCTAGCTTTTCGTTATCGTGGTCGTTATCTGATCACATGGTTTGGCGTATTTGCACTTGGTCTTATTCTGGAAAATATAAGATTTTTAAATCCCCAAATGGATATATTTTTCCATTCACCAGGAATTTTAACTTTATTTGGTATGCGGACGCCTTTGTATGTGGTTTTAGGAATGTATCATATGCTACTTTACATTGCTTATGTAATGGCGCGCAAGTTGGTTCCAAATTTATGAATCTTGATATTAAATTATATTTATTTAGCCTAAGAATTATTCTTTGCAGGTTAAGATTACCTTGGTGGGCTCAAGGTCCCGCTTGTGGTTTACTTCTGCTTTTAATTGATTTTCCTGTTCATTTTATGGGTGTTAAATTGCTTTGGTGGCAGTGGCACGATAGCGAAGCGAATTTTTTAGATAGGTAATTAATTAATTTATTTATTATTCATTTATTTCAACATATATCTCGCGATTTCTTTTTTTATTTACTTTTTTTTGCAATTTCAGATCATATTCAGTTCCATGGGTAATGTACTCTTTCGATGCTTTCATCGGTTCTTCTTTTATCTGGACATTACACGCTCTCAGATGGTTGTTCTTATCTTCCAAGTATGATTGGATGCTGTAAGTACATTTTAAAAATAACTGCATTCAATAATCGTAATCTTGCAAATAATTGAAATCTTGCAAAAGTTAAGGTCATTGTGTGTTTACAAATGGTATTAGGCGGTTGTTGAACATTACTTGTGTTGAAATTAATTTTTTAAAGAATTTGAATTCTTTCAGATGGATGCGCGAAATGGTATGTGCGATATCGGCCGGAGCAATTGCACTTGTAATTGCTGCTTTACAACTCAACATTTTTGTACTTGTTCCTCATTATTTGCTAAAGGTTATTAGTGGTTTAAATTTCAAAATTGTTCGTTAAATTTAATTTGTTGAAGAGTCAGTGGTAAACGAAGATTCATGATATAAATAAAAACTAGGTGCTTTTGGTGAAGAAATTCTGAGGAAAAGTGCTGAACTTTATATTTCATAATTATAAACCATAGAATATTTGTTCGTTATTTGTTCGTTAGCTTGGTCACCATTTTAGATTCACACAAGCGTACCAGTTTTAATTTCGATTGCTTTATACGCTATCGTCGTCATAATTGCTGATCGTAATAACTTGGATGAGGATGCTCGATCATTTAGTAGCTTTTGCAAATAAATCCATTTTAATAATTCATCATCGTTTTTTTTCTTCTATGTTTTTGAAAATGTTTATGTTTTTGAAAAAAGATTTTACAGTGAAGATCCTTGTTGTTTTTCAGGGAAACAATTTTGGTTTGATGAACTAGCATGTGCAATTTGCATACATTATATATTTTTTATGTCGCTTCCCGTAGTTGCAGATCCTCAAAATATCGTTTCCGAAGGATTACATCAGCCTATTTGGTCTTGTAATGTAATTGAAGAAAAAAGTTTCTTCAATAATTTGGTAGTTTTTTTTAGGTAGTTTTTTAGGTAGGTAGGGTAGTTTTTAGGTAGTTTTTTATTTCTCCAATTAAATTTGTAACACCCAATATTTTTCTTCCTATTCAAATTTTTTTTCATATGAAATAACAATAAATATAAATAAAAAATATAAATAAATAAACAATATTTTAAATATTTTTAAAAATGGAATGGATTTTAAAGTGGTCGTTAAGCATTTTTAGGTGCTCACTCGTCAGAAATATCTTTGTCCAACAAATTATAACGCAGATTATTTCGATTTTCACTGCAATCCGTATCAAAACGCTTTGGATCGTATTACTGAGATTCCTCTCGAGTGGTACGCTATATGTGGTCTTGATTTCACTAATCGAATGGAATATATATTTATCATATGGTTAATTTTTAAAATAAAAACGTTCTGAGGGTATGTGGGTATGTATGAGAGTATAAATTTCATTGAAAAAAATCAATTTTTTGAGGCCTATAAAAGATATAAAAAGTGAGATAGTTTGTTAGTTTATGAATAGTGGTTTCGTTATATTAGTTTTTCAGGTCGTTCTCATTCATTTCCTTGGTGATATTTTATCAGATATTGGCTTCCTCTGGACCTCTTCCACTTGAACCAGTTAAAGTATTTATATTTCAGTTTATTTTGCTTTTCTTCTATCTTTCTATATTCGTTAACTTTTTTTTCAAATCTTTATTATCAACAACTTGTCAAGCGAAAATTCTTATGGTAAATGAAAAAGAAAAATAATTGTTTAATCTGAAGACTGTTTATTCTTAAAGTGGCTAATTAAGAACCATTCATTACTTTAGCTTTTAAGGTATATATTCGTCGAAAATTGGAAGAAAGACCAGTGTATTCGGAGCATCACTCTGATATCATGTCGTCTTCAATTGAAAGACAGCATTCATCCGATTTAGAAGAATTATTTGATAGTGATCGAGAATCAACTGATCTATCCCAAGCGAGTGAGACTGGTGAGCAAAAAAAAAATTTGATGGACAATTTAGACCAAATGCTTTGTGCTAGATCTCGTGATAAATCGAAAAAAAAGGATATCAGAGGCAAAAAAAAGGAAAAATCCAGTCATTTACCAACACTTGTAAATGAATTACGTACAAGGAATTCAAGAAGAAAGCAACAACCATTGGATACTTAATCTTTTTTCTGTTCTTTCTTAATTAAGATTGAATTTTAAGATTTATTTGTTTAGTGTTTATCATTTGCTTTAGTTTTTATTTAATTTAATGATGGCTTGAAAGTTTAAATCAGATATAAAGAGAATGTACTTAACTATATTTTATTATTTTAATTATATTATATTTTAAGCGTTTTTTGCTTATTTATTCGTAGCGAAAGAACCTATTTCTTAATTTCAAAAATGGCTTTAGTGTTTTTTTATTACATGCATTTTAAGTATAATTTTTTTCATTTTAAGTATAATTTCTTTATCAGCTTTATTTTGAAGTTTATTCTTTATGCAAACTGATATTTTTTGTTTGATATTTAACCTAAAAACCTAAATATACATATTTTATTCTTCGATTTGACTTTCAAAAATTTTAATAATTTTTCTTATAACGCAGATTTCCTACGAAAAATTTTCAAATAAATTTTCATATTTTTGTAATCAATTTTTTTGCAAAATTTCTTCGTATTTTTTGGTTTATACTTGATAAATTTCAATACAAATTTTTGACATAAGTCGAAATAATTTTATTTTCTCAGTATTGTTTGTAGAATTTTTCAGATTTTTCAGATTATATTCAGATTGCTGTTGAAGTTGGCGTAAAATGTTTAATTTATGATTTCTTAACTGATATTCAATTTCATAGGCAAATGATTAAATGAATAAGGGTGATTTGCATTTTTCGTTGAATGGATTGTATGTTTTTTAATTTGTATTGGATAGGTAAAAATGATGTCGAAAAATGGCGGAAAAAGTTGTGGCGATTGTAATCAGTTGGAGACACTAACAAGAAACGATTTTATAAAAGCGTCTGAAGGGATATCACTGGTATTTTTTCGCATCAAATTCTTTTCCGCGTTTATCAATAATTTGGTATTCATCCATGATTTATTGTTCCACCTATTGTTTAATTAGGATTTTTTTATATTTTTTAATCAGAGAAGAAAAGATCTGTTCTCTTCTTTACGAGAAATTTGATTAGCAAACTTTATCATTTTTGATGATTTAATTGCTAATGTGATTAAATATTTCTTAAAAATTTTATAATTTTGTAATTTGAAAATAATTTCAAAAAAAGAAATTAGAAATCTTTTTAGCTAGGAAACTTTCGTGCTCGACTTTTCAAATCCAGGGATATACCCATACTTTGCGATTTTTCACTTTATAAAAATTTAGAGGTTCTAGTCATCGACAATGATTATGATAAATCGAGTGAGCAGTCAGCTGCTGAGGTGAATTTTTTTTCTTTGCATAAATTATGGATGAAATTATGGACGAAAAAAATCTCCATTTTAAATAATTGTTTTTTCAAATTGTTCTTTATTTTGTGTGGTTTTATTTTATTTTCGTTTACAGTAGTTTTATTCAAAAGTAAAATTAATAAATGAAATTTGAAGTTCTACTTTCCCATTATTTTAGACTTCTATCGAAGAAAAAATTGTTAACAATGGAGAGGATAGCATTAAATATGGCGGTTCGCCACTGAAATTTGAGTTTTTGACTCTGTCTGCCTTGCAGGTTACCTAATTTGGTTCCCGAAATCCATTTATCTATTATATATGAATTTTTTGATTAATTCTCATGTTTCGTTAGTTAGAGCTGTTAATATTTTATTTTAATCAGCTTTTTATTTTGGGATAATCAAGTTAATTTTAAATTGAAAAAATATATATATAATAAAAATATAAAATAGATGGATAGAAATAGATAGAGAAATGTAAAGGAGAATAAATGAGATAGTTGGCTGTCTTAAATTTAAATTATTATATTTCTTTCTTACTTTTAATAATCGGTAAAGTAAAGTCAGCTAGACGAGAAATTATTAATGCTATCAGAAGAAAAAAATGTCAATAATAATATTAATCAAAATAAAAATTAATAATTAATTGTGATACTTTATGAATTGATATCAAAACGATGTTAATACTTTATTAGTTAGAATTTTTTAGGCCAAAGATGGTTTCAAGTCAGTGGAACATGAATATTTTCAATCAGCGAATTTTTTCAACTGTAATCCTTTATCTGAAAAAGAATCGGCTTTCTTGATGAATAGGTATTTTAATCCAATTCCACTTATGTATCTTTTCGTTGTAATCCATCGCACGAGATGTGTTTGTAATTATTTTTTTTAAGACTTAGTTCCTGGGTTGAACCAACATTTTCCCATGAAACCCTTCGAAATATTCCTCTTTGGATTGTAACTGATTGTAAGGATATCCACAACACGATAATGTTCGGGATATCGAAATCAAAGGATTCCATGGATTATTGTCGGATTCAGTGCTTTGGTTCGATTTTTTATGTTATTTTTTTTTGAGTTACCAAAGTTAGAAATAGAAAAGTTAGAAAAGCCAAGAATAGATTTTTCTGTAGGTCGTGGAAATGCAGTTGCAAAAAAATATTTATTGGTTGGTCATCACTGTCAGCGTATTAGTGGTTTAGAAGTATGTTTTCAATTTATCTTACTTTATTAGTTGAACCGTTTGGATTTTCTGAATCGCTCTAATTTGTTCAACTTTTTTCATGGAAATAAATAGGTATTGAGGATAATTTAGGTGCTTTGATCTCATTTTTGATTTCTTTTGATTACTTGTTTTGATTTTTTATTTTTGTTTCATATAGGAACGTTCAAAAGCCGTTTCTGTTATCAATATAATTCGAAGAACTCATAATGTTGAAACTGATTATAAGGAACGCGTTTCTGGATTTATGCAGATCAGTGCAACTTGGAATTGCAGTGACAATAGTCTTTTAATGATTCCACCTTTATCAGCTCCACTTTCTGTGGTATTTTTGTCAATTTTTTCATTTTTTAATTTTTTTCTTAAAGGCCTTTCATTTATGTTCGCCTCCTTAATTTTCATAAAATTTTTCAGCATTTGTTACCTGGTTGGCTGGATTCACGAATGCCTTTGTTTGGGCTTGCAGTCGAATTACGCTTTATTATTTCATTAGCTCGAGCTCTTCGCACGGGTTCCATGAAATGGGATAATTTAAATGGATCTTCTTATGAATTAATTATTGATAAAGTGAAGAAATTGATTGAAGGTTTCATAAATTCAGATTTGTTTATTTGGCTATTCTGAATCTTTTGCTCTGTGAAGGAAAGAAATAGGAAAAAAATGAAACTAAAAAAAGTTTGATTTTTGGCCAATTTATTACTTGTATTACTTGTTGGTCAAGTTTTTTAAAACCATTTCGAGTTTGGATTTCACTGACTTCGAATATATTTTTTTATGAACCATTTTGCCTTCCAGAGAATGCGATTTTAATTTTATAATAAATTTTACAATATTAGAGGAGAGAAATGCGAAACGTTCAACCGGTAGCAAAAAACCGTTTCGTGATTTTACTGGAAGATTGTGGAAAATTATGCTTTCTTGCAATAGCGCTAGTACATTAATAGATGTGCTGAAGACTATTTTCGCTATTCTTCGAAGTCGCACATTTGTTGTAACGGTAATTTCTTTAGCGTAATTAATTAATTTCAACGTTAATATTGCGTTTTATTTTAATCGTAGCCAACTTTGTTGGCATTTTGGCCGTCATTTTGATTAGTCAGAGAGATATATCATTTAGAGTGATCAGATATGGAGTGTTAGAATTTTCTCTTATTTAATGAAATCAATATTTGGCCATTTCATTGATATTTTTACCAGAAATTTATATCAGATACCAAGTTTGAAGCTTCTTTAGTTGCACAGTGACAATAGAAGTCAGTTGGCTCGATTAATCTCAGATTCTGCGTCGGAGAAGGGACTGATTCTTCCTCGACTTGAAGGTCTTACTCCTATACAAATCCTCCTCGAAATTGGTGTGGAAGATTTTCATCGAAGTTGCACTGAACAGTTCCTCACAAATGGTTCATATTTGACGTTGTAAATTTAAATTCAAAAAAAAAAACAAATTGGCTTATTGTTTTCTTATTTTTATATATGATCTGAATGGATATCTTATTCTTATTTCTTATCAGAATATGTCACGAGCAAATCGGAACTGGATTTTTTCCTTATTGATGGATTCGATAAGTCACCTGAAGATAGAGCTGACTCTTTGTTAGCATATTATTATAGTTTAGTTGCAATGGCTGCGTGCAAGCAATATTTAAATCTTAACAAACATCAGTTTCGTACATTTGCTCGGTTAGTTATTATTTGCAAAGCGATTGTTTCCTTTATATTTTTCTTTCCTTTGCGATTGTTCGCTTTATAGAGTATCATTTTTAATATTTTTAACGTAATATTTTTTAACATCTTTAATATTTAATAATTATATATTTAATTACTAATTTTTCATTATTAATTAATTAATTTTTTATTACTAATTAATTAATTTTTTTCAGACAAGTTATTTCTAAATATTGTTTGTTAAAAATTTCACCATCCAGTCATGGTATCTGTACAGAAATGGTGAATAAATTCACGATTGATTTAAGTACCGGTCTTTCTGTTATGAATATTCCTCCCGCGATCTATGATATGTAATTTTTTCTTTTTTCTACTTATTTTGTTTTAATTATGTTTTAATTTTTGATTTCTTTATAATTTTATTATTGTATTTTTATTATTTATTATTATGCTAAGGATGCAATGAATATGGATTATTATTTCTTATCAAATTTTAATTAATTTCCATTTTTCCATTGTTAGATTGGAAGTTAATATAAAATTAAAAAACAGTTAAAGTTAAAATTAAAAATTAAAATTTAAAAATTAATCTTTGCAGAAAAAAACCAGTAACTTGGGCTTTGGAGACAATATATTCAAAGGGTGCAGTTGAATGTGCGCGGACTATGGTTCATTTTACGAAAGAAGCAAGATTTCCATTTGTGTACCATGGTTTAGCTAAAAAAATCGATCATGTTGAGCTTCAAGAATCTTTCAGGCTAGATGAAGAAGTAAAAATAGCTTTTCTTATTTATCTATGTCACATAGTCCTGATATGTTGTTTTGGAGGGAATTTGGACTTTATTAATATTGGCATAATATTACCAGCTAGATTTTTTTTTTCAGAAATTGGTATAGTAACTAAGCGAGTGATTTTGTAGTTCAATTCAAAAATTACAGATGCAGAAAATCGCAATTCTAAAAACAGAATTTCATGTTTGAAAAACTAAAAATTTTTAGGGCAACAATGATGAAAATGAACTAAAAAATGCGAAAAATGATCGTTTAAGGAATGCAAAGAAAAAAACATTTTGCGAGGATTTTTTCGATGATTATTATTGTTCCGTTCTAATTGCTCGATTAAATTTGCAAAATTTGTAAAAAATATGGTTATACTTTTCTAAATTCGTGTTAATGAATATGGTTTAAACTTTTTTATGAATGAAGCATTTTCATTTCATCACTGGTATTTCCATTTGGTTTTTTTCTAATTTTATTTGAAACGAAGAAAAGATTCATTCATATAATTCATATAATTGTTCATCTTGCTTCTTTCGTAAAATGAACCATAGTTTTATTCATATAATTGTTGGCAATACGTTGCTGTAATGTGACACATTTGCGTTATTATTAAAGTTATTGTTTTGGGAGATGGAAATTATGAACTATATTTAAGTTAATTTCTTATTTAATTATATTTTTCAAATGATTTGACAGACAGATTTGAAAAAAAATTTTAAATCAGTTTGTGGATTTGAGGAACTGCGCTATTATTTATCTCGTAAAAGAGGATTTTTATATGGCGAATATTCACGGACATGGCTTTCAATAAAATTATTCAGCCATGGTTCCGAAATTTAATATTTCAGGAACTCGATTAGATTAGATTTCGTACGATCTGATTTCTTGAATAATGATCGTTTCGGATTACGAAGCGCAACATTTTGGATTTACTCCACTGGCGGTTGTTGACACCAGTTAGTCCATATTTCTTCTTTTTTATTATTCTTATATCATTTTTAGCGTTAATTTTTTTTTGTCACTTGACTGATTAGTTTTGGAGCTGATTATAACGTAAAAAATATTACGATATTTAAGTTTACAATATTTCATTGGATTCATGGTGCGAAACCGTTGACAAAATTCTGCCAATGCTGCATTTAGAAGATATAGACGAAGTTTCCAAGAAAAGAATTAAATACCGTTTATTCCATCTTTTGGATCGAAAAGGAATCCTTGATTCGCTTATGGACAAACTAGAGGCTCTATTTCTTGATATTTTTTTATTAAACCATTTAAATTTAGCCACATACAAACAACTTTTTCCTCTCCATTTTAATTGAAAGGAATCGTCAAATCATATCTATTTTTTCCCTAAATGCCACAAAGGAATCGCATTTTTTTCATCAATTTTCATTTCAGTCTCCATTTCCTTTTTCCTTCTTATTATAATATTTTATCATAAAAAAGTAAAAATAAAAAATTTCACGGTTAAAATCGCTAGTAAATTATTTAATTTTTTAAATTTAACCATTTCAGAAATATGTAACGAATTATATTTTCCACATACCTAATCACGTAACTCTAACTGAAGATTTAGAACAATTGAATATCGACATAAATCATAACCAAGAATGGGAATTACAAAATCGCATTAAAGCTCTCGAAAAGGAAATTTTAGAAGTTAAAATTTAATTAAAAATAATATAAAGACTTATTCTCTAGTGAATTATTAATATTGCTCTTTTATCTGAATCTCCAACTCAATTTACAGATACGCATTGCTTTGGAAATGACCAGGAAAGAAAAATTAGATTGTCAAAACGCTCTCTTGGCCCTTAAAACAATGAAACCAATCGATCATTCATAGCGATAAAGATGTCACACACCTATGCTTGTTGTTTTTTTCATCAAAATTATGTTGTTTGTTTAACTTTGTACAAATTTTAATTCATCTATTCATTCGTTCATTGCCTACTGCAAGCCCAATTTCAGAATTATCATAAAATTTTCATTTGGATTACGAAATTTCTCAATGATTTCATTCTTTCATTTCATGAAAGGGTTTGCGCAAAAATGATATTTATTTAACTTAATTACAAAATTTTTCTATTAATTGCAACTTCGCGATAAACAACAATTAAAGATTGTGAAAATATATGATGTGGGGAATGCAATTAAACAAAATTTAAACGAAAGCGCACAAATATCTGCTAAATTATCGTGACAAAAGATCTGTTTTAATTTACTGCAAATGCGATGAGGATTTATGGGCTAAATAAAGAAATAAGCATAAAAAATTTTAAGTTATAATAAGTCACACTTGCTTTTTTTCTTCTTTTTCTGTTGTAGAGCTGCTTGTGTTGCTTTTTCAAAAACTTCACGAATACCATCTTTTGCTTTAGCTGAACATTCAAGATATGCAAACGCGCCGATCTGCTCAGCTATTGTACGTCCCTGCTCTGGACGAACCGGCTCCTGCTTCATTTTCGCAAGTTCACGAATTGTTTGTGGATCATTCCGTAGATCCTTTTTATTCCCAACTAATATTATCGGCACATTTGGACAGAAATGTCTAACCTTAAATTTCCGAATTGCAAACCAAGTTAACGGTATCAATAAAAGGAAAAAACACTGCTAAACACTGGAGAAAAAAGTTAAAAATGAAAAATTTCCGACTCACTTCTGGTGTCCACTTTTCTGGAATGTTTTCAAGCGAATCAGGAGAATCGATACTAAAGCACATCAGTATGACATCAGTGTCAGGATAGCTCAATGGCCGTAACCGATCATAATCTTCCTGTCCAGCTGTATCCCACAATGCCAATTCAACCTGAAATTAAGAATAAAAAAAATCTCGAGGGAAATCCATTCTGCAGGCTTTCAGCTAAAATTCAAAATTTTCGCAGTTTAAAAAAACCTTTAGAACCCTTAACCCTTAAAACCAACTTGTTTCCCATCGACTTCGATATCAGCCACATAATTTTCAAAAACTGTTGGAACATAAACATCTGGGAACTGATCTTTGCTAAATACAATCAGCAAACACGTTTTACCTAAAAGCTCAACTTTTTAATTAAAAAAAATAAGAATATTATACAAAAACAGCAAAATAAAAATCGGAAAAACTATAAAAACGTTTAGAATAAATTTTCGATACGCACCACAAGCACCATCACCAACAATGACAAGTTTCTTTCGAATGGCGGCCATACTGGACGCGGTCTGAAATTATTCGATTAAATAAAACCTACGTTCAGATAATTTATTAAATTAAATATTTGCAAGAAACTAGAAGAAACTAGAAATAGCCTGTCAAAAGCTTGAAGTATCCTACTATTACTAAGTAAAGAATTTGTTGAATGTAAGGTAATTATCTTTTAATACTAAAAATTGGACCTTATAAATATCACCTACAAGTTTAACAACATGTTTGGGAACAAAAATTTGTTCGTCCTCAATTGAATGTTATGTTTATAAAAATAATTTACAAATCATAGCTATCGTTTGTATAATTACCGAAAAAAAACACAAAGAACTTTAGAGAAATTTGTGTGTACCGACAAAAATTTCCAGAAAAAGGATTAAGATCCGTAGAAAGTTAGAAAATACACGAAATATAAAAGAAGTAGAAACAGAAAATGGCAGGAGGGCGAATCTGAATAACAAAATACTATGGTCATACTACAACATTACTAATTTTAATAAACTTATTATAAACTTATTATCCGAGTAAATTTCATTAAAGCCGATAAATCAATTTAGACCAGCGAAAACACAAATCACAACTTATCCATACAGATGATTCATTTCTTACACAATTACCACACGAATAGAACTTCCAAAAAATGACGGCCCGAACAAAACATATGGCCGAAGCATCGTAAGTTCTTTTTTTCCCGTGTTTTTACTGCTTAATCAATTTAAAACAAATTTTACAGTTAGCCAGTTAGGTAGGGAAAAAATCCTTCACAAAAAATATATAAAACTAATCAATTAAAACTAAAGAATTTGATTACATCATCTTCGGCGTAAATATAATAAAAAATTGAAAGAAAGAAACAAATTTGAAAGTCGATTTCTTATTTATAAATTTAAAAATAATATTATAAAAATATAAAGTTATATGCATATCTATGTGCTTTTAACCTTTAATCAAATGAAATATAATTAAATAATTTTTAAAATTTAAAATTAAAATTTTCCCAAATATTTAAAAGAGAAAAAAATGAAAAGGAAAACCACATTGGCAAAGGCAGAGAATCACAAAATAAACTGGAAAAATGGCAAAAATTTTTTTAAAAAACAAATTGGGAAATATAGAAAGAATCATCTATTATAATATCGCGTAAATTGGAGGCTATGGGGAAAAGATTTAATGATTCTGTGGGAAACCTTATGCAAAAACAGCCCTTCAAAGACAAATCCAACCAAACACAACCAATCCGCGCAACTCCCAAACCACACCGACTACAAATCCACAAAAACCAAATTACGCTCAACATCAAGCCGTAACAATGAAAAGTCAAAAAAATGGGCGCTACCGTATGCGCTTGCATAATTTCGTTTTAAGGCAAATTATTTTGAAGCTTCTAAATATAACAGCTAAAAATCATAAGATATAGCACTATATTCGTATTTTAATTCCATAGGAACTGGATTGGTGAAATTTTCTTTGTTGGTGCTTGGTATGACCAGTGGAACTATACTTTTTAATCTTTGGCTTATTTTTCTGTGAATTTTTTGTATTTCTTAGCATAAACCACCGAATTTAACTGTTTACTTCGTTCGCATCAACTGAATCCGCGATTTGCTCGTCTTCGTCGAATCAGCCTATTAGTAAAATCTAAAATCTTTTTTACATTAAATGTAAAATAGAAGTCCCCAAAATTGTTTTTATTTTTTATCATCGATTTGGTTGGAATTTTTCATTTTTTTTTATTTTTCATTTTTTTTCTTAAAATTTTTTTGCTCTAATTTTGTTTTTTCTTTTTGTTTATAACAATACAAATAACGATCGAGAAATTCGATATTCACTGATATTCGCTGATTTAAAACGAAATTACAGATTAAAGATTTTAATCTCAATTATACAGCATTTGATAATTTCATCACTTAACTGATAAGTGATATGTTTAACTGATATAAAGTGATGATCTTTGATTTCTTCGAAGTGACAATTGGATTTCTTCGAATAGCCATGAGGATAAGGCTTAACTCTTTCGATGCATCTGAAATTGACTCGAAAAGAGACAACTCGAGATTGTGAATTTAAGATAAAAATCATCGAAGCAGTTGATCTATAACAGTTCAGTTTCATGCAAAAAATTATCAGTTAAAATTATCAGTACAACAATAAAATCGAAATTTATTTCAAAAAGGACCAAACTATTTTGAAACTTTTCGGTAGTTTTTAGGTTATCGATCAGCTAAAAAATCAAATCAGTTTGTTATTAAGAAGAGCTGATAATCAGTTATCAAATTATCAAATTATCAATTTCTAAAGCAAATTATTTTTATTTTTCTTTTGCATTATACAAAAGGTGTAATCAATTGTGCGAATTCGATTTTATTGATAATCGAATCGCAAAAATTCAAAGAAAAAATTATCAAAATAAAAAATCTGCAGTTCCATTCGGTTCCGTTCAATGAAATGTCTCTAATTTGTTCTAACATTCTTACTTCTTTCTTCTACGAGATCCCCAACCAGCCAGGTTACCTCGTAGTACTTGTATGGCTTGCATGGTATTCATAAGCTTATCAGTCCATGTATCTGTACATTGCATGATGGCCTTAAATTTCATGGATGATCTATAAGTTTTTACGTGAATAAACTAAATGAATAATTTGTTTGGGCAATGGAAAGATTTTGTTTTTTAGAGGAACTAATCAATTATGTGGTATTTTATCAAGTTGATAAGAATGGATTGATATAAATAAGCAAATATTTAGGCGTATTTATTATTAAATTATAGAAAAGACGCTTTAGTTGTCGAAATGAAAGTTGGTTTTCTTGGTGCTGGCAAAATGGCTCAAGCTTTATGTCGTGGCTTTATTAAATCAGGTTTTCCTTTATTTTTCTTCTTCCACTCTTTATAATATTTCTGATTTGGTTCCCTTCATCGATAATAAAGCAAAGCTCTCCATTCATTCATTAAAGGATCGTTTGAGGATAAAAATAAAGTATTCGGTTTGGGTAACCATCCATATTTCACTTCTGCTGGCGAATTTCTCTTACTGCTTCATCGATTAATTGGTTATTTTAGATATTAAATAAAATTTTGCGCAGATTTCCAGAGGATATTTGGTTGTTCCATTGTTTTATTCACATTCCATTATATCCCCTTATGACACCGAAAATTATTATTTATCTGGCTAAATGACTAAGATCGTCCCATAGAAAATTGAATAGATTGTGGTGAAGATGAAAAGTTTAATTGATTTTTCATAAATAGTAGAACTATTATTGTAATAAAGAAATTTGAAAAGAAAAATGAAAAAAAAAATGACAATTTCTTAGATAGGGAAATAAAATTTCTTGCATAGGGAAATGAGAAAAAAAAAAAGAAATAAATATTTTATAAATAAATATCATGAAGAAATAAAAGGAAGGAAGATTGTGGTACTCGATTAACGGTGTTTAATAAGATAAATTAAGCGTAAGCAGGTTGTTAGATTAATAAAAAAAAATGCATTATCTCGACTCATAATTAGGTAATTAAGCGATTTGCAAAATGAGCTAATTTTGCGAATGGAACTATTGCCAGGTCAGCGAATTTTCTTTAATAACACATTCATTTCTTGTCACTGTTGAAGATAAAAAATTTAAACCGAACGCATTTTTTATAGATCGGCTTAGTCCAGCGAGTATTACAGCAAGCTGTCCGAAAAGTGACGCACACCTTTTACAAGAAATTAAGGTTGATTAAAATTTTATAAATTTTGATAATTTCGATAATTTTGATAATTTGATAATTTTAACAGCAAACAGGTTTTCCTTTCGTTCAATCGCAATTTTTTCATCAGCCAAAATAAAATAAAATTGCTGATTACTGTAATTAGTCAACGACGTTTTAATTTTAATTTTAAGCATAAGCCAGGCATTTTTTTAAGAGCCTTGGCATAGCAACAACGCACAACAATATCGAAGTTGTCCAGAATTGCGATGTTATATTTATTGCAACAAAACCACCGATTGTTAGTAAAGTTGCTGCAGAAATTGCACCAGTATTAACCAGCGATCAGTTACTTATTTCAATGGCTATGGGCATTCCGATTAATAGCATTGAATCGGTAAATATTAATATATTAATATTAATACATATCAATATTATATCGAAGATTCATCATCGTAGAATAGCCAAGTGATTTAGATTATTGCCTTGAGATTCCGTCAAGATTCCAGCTCTATCGGATTCGAATAGGAGTAAATATGTCAGAGTGGTACTAAGAATTCACCATAGGGACTGAACTTTTCCCCAATGAAAGGCAGTTAGGTTTATCGATGAAATATCTCCAATTTTTTTCCTTTTGATCTCAAACTGTTATTTATTATAGGCATGAAAATTTGTTTTCTTTTTTTTTTGTTGCAAAAAATTCATAGATATAAGAAGGGATTTAAAAATTCAGATAATTAATGGTACTAAAGATTAAAAAATAGAAAATTAAATTTGAAATATAAAATTTATGAGAAGAATTTTGTAAATTTGGTAGCTGCAAGATCGACGTTGGTGTTTTTTTTTATAATTATTTAGCAAATTTATGGCTATAAAATTAGTTTTAAATTGTTAAAGTTTAAGAAAATATTTGCATTCAATTTCTTGATGAGTGATAACAAACCAAACGAAAATTCAAATTTAGCAGTAATTACTTCGACAATTATTATTGTTATTCAGTTGTTACCGCCAAAAAGTCGCGTAATACGAGTGATGCCAAATACTCCAGCCGTTGTGCGAGCTGCTGCATCAGCATTTAGCATGGGAACTGCTTGTAAAGAAGGTGACGCCGAAATAGTTAAAGACCTTCTTTCTACTGTCGGATATGTGGTTCAAGTACCTGAAGCATTGATGGATCCAATCACTGGTCTTAGTGGTAGTGGTCCTGCTTATGTAAGTTATACTTAATATTGTTATTCTCTAATAGTTATTCTTTAACTTCATGTCGCTTAAATTTTAGATTATTGCCGTTATTGAAGGACTCGCTGATGGTGGTGTTAAAATGGGATTACCACGTGACTTAGCGTTAAAACTCTCAGCTCATTCGGTTCTCGGTGCGGCGAAAATGGTTCTTGAAATTGATAAACATCCAGCTGAATTGAAAGAAGAAGTACAATCACCTGGTGGATGTACATCGTACGGAATGCATAAACTTGAATCTGGTGGTCTTAAAGGAATTCTCATGGATGCTGTTGAAGCCGCTACAATTCGTTCAAAAGAGACTGGTAATATGCAAGGAAAAAAATAATCGTAATTTTTTGCGTTTTGATTGCGTTTCGCAATTTCTTAGCTCTTTTTAAGCTCAAGGTAATAAGCTGATAACAATCACTCGGTTATTTTAGTTCTTTTTAACTTTAGATTTTTCCTGTTGATTTGATAATGGATTTTGATGGCATTCCAATCGAAAAATGCGAATGCTTCTTCTTTAAATTTATTGGGTATCATTTTTATCATTTTATCATACATTATCATATACTTGACTATTTCTTTCGTACAGCCGGTTTTCTTCTATAAAACTAAAAGGTCTTTCATTGTTAAAGTAACATATTATCAGCTCTATACAACAGTTTCATGTGGCCTACCATATCTTCCTTGTGTTCTTACAAAAAATTTCAACATTCTTCTGCAACAATTATCAATTATTACTTTAAAGATAAAATATTTCGATTTGCTTATAATTTTTATGCTTAAATAAATATTAAAATAATTTCTTATCATGTATTTTATCAGTATTTATTTTCAAAAGTTATTATTTGCAACTCGCCATTATTGTATTAAATTTATTACTATTTAAAGATATATAAAGATCTGATATATTCGTTATAATCATTAAAAGAAAAAGAAAAGATTAAGATTAAGTGTTAATCGTTTCGCTTTTTAAACTGATAAGTAAAAGAAGGAAAAATTATCTGATAAGGTTCCACTTGTTAATAGGATCGGAAATTTTTGCCAAGCAATCACCTTGCAATAGAAATAGAGGTAGGTCGCCAGCACCACTCGAGCATGATAAGCCCGTTGCTGTCGGGACAGAGGCCAGTTGAATTCTTAAGATGATAAGCTGATGACGTCACTTAGTTATATTAGCTTTTTTTATCATCGATTGAATCAAAATCAGTGATTCTCTATATCTAAATATAAATATTTTGAATAGGGTTAATGGTTCTTTAACCTTTCGACAAAAAATAATTATGGCAAAGACGAACCACCCACCTATGACCATTAACCCTAGGTCGGGACCGCAAATTTCGCTAAAGACTAATTCACGGATCGGCCATATATTAGTGAATACTAAGGAAGAGGAAAGGTTCGCTTTGTATTTGTTCAATTAATCTTTGGAAACTGGCCATTTTTTTCCATAAATTGATTCAGTGGTGCATAGTCTGACAATTGAGTACCAATGATGTTTGCCTGTTGACGAGAAAATTTAGTGGTACTGGAAAATTAAGAAATGAGCGGAAGGGGTGAAATTGATAATGAGAAGAGAATTTGGAGAATTAAAGAAAGAGAAAAAGGGAAGAAGGCTTTAGAAATGTGCGACTCGCTTAACTGAAATATAAATTTAGGATAGGATTTTATAGGAATTTTGCCCAACGACTATTCGACGATATTTCATTTATTTTTGTTTCAACTTAATTTTAGCGACATTTTTTATTTTCCCTCCTTATTAATATGAGTTATTTAATATTTTTAAATAAGGGCGGATGGTGAAATTTTGGTGCATTGGAACCGAACAGTAGTCCCATTATCGGCATAATTTTCATATTGTTCCCTGCATTAGTCTATTCATTCATTTTTGGATTTTTGGCAGAAATCTACTTTCTTGGGAAATCGATATGCAAAATTGAAATGGATTTATCGTCGGAGTAGCAAAAATTGGTTTAAACGGCTGAGAATAAAATAGATTATTAATTGAAGATTATTTTGTAAATATAATTTCTAATAGAATTAATCAATTATTTTATTAAAATTATGAAAATTAAAATTATCAAAATTAAATGAAATATTGTCATAATTGTACGAAAGAAAATTTGTCAAAATTGAACACTAAACTTTGTTATTAACGATCGAAAAATTACTAAAATTAACGATCGAAAAATTATAATAAAAAATATATTTAATGTAAAAATCGAGTTATTTGCTCATTTATTTAGAAAAAAGCGAATTTTGGTCGACAAATAGTCAATGGAAAATTCAGAGTCGCTGTGGTACGGCGATCGTCTGCCAAAAACAAAAGGTTTCCTTGAATTTTTTTTTTGTTTGAATGAAAATTCGTTTTTTAATTTCTAATTTTAATTCCATAATTTAAAAATAGATTTTGGCTTATCGCTTATCTAAAAGAAATCTGCAAAAAATCCATGTGCTTTTTATTTTTTTCATTTTTTTATTGTAATTATCACTGTTATTTTTGATAATTGACTTATACTTATATTACTTATACATGTGATTTGATAAGTAATTTTATAAATATTATTGCGAATAAAAGTGATTTTTCAGAGGGAAAACGTCTTCTCAGGCTTATCGATTGGTTCTGTAAGCTCTATGCAGAAAGGTACCATAACGGAATGATGACATTCGCGGTAAGAAGCTTATCTGTGAAGTAATATGATTGATATTTAGCACATTGATATATTCATGATTGCGTTATATTATCTTGTTGAACATAGGACTAAGAAGATTTTGTCCGAGTAACATTAGACAATCACATTATTCAATCATATAATTATATAATTTTTCATTTTTCACAATATAGAGGTGATTTGAAGTTATCTTTATTAGTCGATGAAGCTTTGATATATATTTTTATCATTAAATCTCTTCAGTTATATATGAAATTTTTGCTAAAAATAGCTCGCCGACATGGTTTCCATTTGCGTGCCTTGTTGCACTTGAAAATGGTGTCTGGTTCGCGAACGGCATATGCGCTTGGTAATATTCAGAGACGCTTGCCAGAGAGTTGTTTTTGTTCATCGAGACCGATTTTGAATCTTTCTTTAGCGTATGTTTTTTTTTCTGAATTTTAGTAATTTTCTTTATTTAGTATTTTTCTTTTTGTAAATTTCTTCAGCTCTTGAAATTTCGGGAAAAAATGAAGATTAAAGAAGATTAAATCATTTGTATATCATTTGAAAAATTTTAGTTTATCTGAAATTTGCGAGCTGGAACAATCAATGGGCATAAGCAAATGGCACAGTATATTTATGAATCCAGCAGTAAAGTAAGTAATTATTTTCAACTATATAAGGAACAAAAAGGAGAATAAATTGTCCGAAACTAGATCATTTGTTTTTTTTTTACTTAAATTTCGAATTTGTTTGATTAATTTCCTATTTTTAGGAAAATTCAATCCATTTCTAAAAATCTAATCAGATAAAGGATAATTAATTTTCTAAATTTTTTATAATAACTCGCTGCAGATTATCAAAATTTTATAAAAATTTTGACTTTTTTACTTTTAGTACAGTATATCTAGTTAAATATAAATATAATAATGTGTAATATATTTGTTTTTGAATTTATTTTAAATATGTTGAAAGTATAATCATTCCCTATAAATTTACAGGTTATTGGCTATACGTGGCGTTAATTGGCAGAAACAAATAATAATTCTGCGTAATGCAATTCTTAATGAAGATTGGACTGTAGTTGGTCAAATTCTTGGTTAGTTTGTTCAAATTTTAATCATTCAATTCATTCTTTAATTCTTTAATAGATTGTTATTAGGTATTTCGTGGTTATTTACATAATCTGATCGGTAAATTTGTTATAATTCTTTATTCACTTTTAGAGAATACATAAATATTTGAACTTAATAGTAGAGATGTATATTTTCTTTTCTTTTCAAATGGTAATTTGCCTATTTCATGTCTTTAGTATATTTTAAGAAATAAAAATTTCTGGTATATTTTCATTTTTTCTGAGCAATTAACGGAAATATTTTTAATTTTTTTTAGCAAAATCTGTGCAATTCAGGGAGATTACCACATTTTCGTAAAAATACTGAAAAGATGTCAATTAGCGCGAAATATCGTATAGAGCAAGAAGCGAAATTGGATAATATAAGGGTAATGCCTTATATTTGTTCATTATTTCGAGTAGGTATACAATACCTTATGCATCGTAATTTACCAAAGGAGTTATTTGTGAAATCTGCAATTAATATGTTGGAAGTTTTCTCAGAAGCTGGATTAAGAAAGGTAACTTTTATAGATAAGTCATAGCTATTTGATCAAAACACCTCAGTATTATTTCCGAAAAATTTTTTATTCTTCGCGATTTTGTTTTTTTTTAGAAGGCTTTTAATCTATAATGAATTTTTATAGCAAACGCATTTCGATGCGCCAAATTATTCGTTGATTTTGGTTACCGAATTGTTAATATTTTTGATTGCGAATGGAATGATAGAAGATTCCAATTATTTAATTCATTTCAGTGAATCATTGCCTGCGTTTTCTAAAAAAGCTGAGGTTTGTGCCCATTATTTAGTGTCCTTTTCTCATTACCCTTTTTATTTGTTAGTGGTTTACTTTTTAAAAGTTTTGATTCTTAATGTTTATTTTAGATTGGACGTATATTTCGGAGTTATCGAACTTTGCTTGAGTACGAGGAGTGGAGACTGAATGGAGTTTTGCAAACTGCTCATTCGAAATTGAGTGCTAATTTAGTAACAGCTGTTCTGGTAAGTTAATTTCGCTTCAGATAATATATTTCATACTTCGACTTATACTGATAAATAATTTGGATGAACTATTATTTGATATAAGGCAGTTATTTTTTATACAGTCGATAAATTTCCCGTGAAGAAGAAGAAATCGTTTTTCATTTTTCATTTTATTTTTCAGTTATTTTCAGATATAATCAGAAATAAAAATTTTTAAAGTTCTGAATTCTCATTTTATATTGTATTTTCTTTATCACGGCATTCATTATTATTTCATATTCTCTGTAGCTATTCAAACATAGCATCATTAGCATTATGTAGTGATGTGATTTCAGTATTTTCTTTGTTTAAGAATTTTTACAGCTGTTATTTCTTTTATTTTTTTTTATTTCTAAAAATTTTTATTTTTTTTATTGTTTTTATTTATTTTTTTAATATTATTTATGTAAAAGCTGTTTTAATAGGATGCTCCGCAAAATAGCGCTGTTTTCATTGAAGCTATGGTCCATTTTTTTAATTCCACGGATCAGTTAAAAGTCATTATGGAAGTAATTTCAATTATTTGTGAAAAATCACATAATATGCTTCCT